CTGCACGTGGGGTCCTCAAAGTGGGCACGTGGGTCCCAAACTGGGAATGGAACCCCCAAATTGGAAGTGGTCTGTAAACTGGACATAGAGTCCCCAAATGTCACCTGGTCCCCAAATCAGCAATGAGGTCCCCAGAGTGGGAATGGAGTCCCCAAACTGAGAATGGGGTCCCCAAACTGGGCACACAGTTCGCAGTCTGGAAACAGAGCCCTCAAACTGGGCACATGGTTCCCAAACTGGGAATGGAGTCCCCAGACTGGGAGAGAGGTACCCAAACTGGCCACACAGTCCCCAAACTGGGAAAAGGCTACCCAAAGATAGAGTGGGATCCCCAAACTGGGTACACAATTGCCAAACTGGGAATGAGGTCCCCAAACTAGGAATGGGGTCCCCAAACTAGGAACAGGATCCCCAAACTGGGCACATAGTTCCCAAACTGGGAATGGGGTCCCCAAACTGGACACACAATTTCCAAACTTGGATTGGGGTCCCCAAACTGGACACACAGTTCCCAAATTGGGAATGGGGTCCTCAAACTGGGATTGGGGTCCCCAAACTGGACACACGGTTTCCAAAGTGGGAATGGGGTCCCCAAGATGGACACGTGGTTTTGAAACTGGGAATGGGGTCCCCAAACTGGGAATGAGGTCCCCAAACTGAGAATGGGGTCCCCAAACTGGGCACACAGTTTCCAAACTGGGAATGGGGCCCCCAAAATGGGATTGGGGTCCCCAAACTGGACACACAGTTTCCAAACTTGGATTGGGGTCCCCAAACTGGACACACGGTTCCCAAATTGGTAATGGGGTCCTCAAAGTGGGATTGGGGTCCCCAAACTGGACACACGGTTTCCAAACTGGGAATGGGGTCCCCAAGATGGACACACGGTTTCCAAACTGGGAATGGGGTCCACAAACTGGACACACAGTTCCCAAACTGGGAATGGGGTCCCCAAACTGGGAATGAGGTACCCAAACTGGGAATGGGGTCCCCAAACTGGGCACGTGGTTTTGAAACTGGGAATGGGGTCCCCAAACTGGGAATGGGGTCCCCAAGATGGACACGTGGTTTTGAAACTGGGAATGGGGTCCACAAACTGGGAACAGGATCCCCAAACTGGGCACACAGTTCCCAAACTGGGAATGGGGTCCCCAAACTGGGAATGGGGTCCCCAAACTGGACACACAGTTCCCAAATTGGGAATGGGGTCCTCAAACTGGGCACAGAGTCCCCAGACTGGGACCCTGTGGAAGCTGTTTGGGACAAGGAATGCTGGAGCCGAGGGACCTTCCTGTCCCTTCCCGGGCCGGATCCGGTGGCTGGCGGTGACTCAGGACCGGCCACGGTCACATCCTGTCCCCCTCCCCCGTGTGCCCCCGGCCTGGCACGGCGCCCCGAAACCTCCCGTGGGCACCGGGGCTGCAATCCCGGGGCTCAGCAGGTTTGGCCACAGGGGTCGGATCTGGCACCAGAGTCTGGCTGTGCCACCAGGACGGAGCTGCTGCCAGGGCTGGGTCACCCCCCCCGTCCCTGCTGGGGTGTGGATGTGTGTCCCAAAATTAGGGAGGGGGTGCCCTGTCGTTGGTTCATCCCCTTCCGAGCCTGGGGGTTGGGAACATCGCCCCAGGGATTGGGGATCATTGTCCCAGGGACTGGGGGAGCATCGCCCCAGGGGGATTCATTTCCCCGCGGGTGGGGGGGAGCACCGCCCCAGGGACCCCAAAATCCTCCCCGCGTGCTGACGGACGGCCCCAGGCACACATTCCCGGCGGGATTGCCCCCGGGCTCGGCCTCAGGAATCCGCGCCGCCCCGGGGTTGGCAGCAGCTGTCGCAGTGCTGGGGCACGGGCGCTGCTGGGAGGGGGGGGTTGGGGTCGCGACCCGGCAGCTGGGCGAGCCCCCCAAAGCGGGGCAGAGCTGATTATAGCCCGCGGGAGCTATTCCCGGGGCTCTGACCCGGGTGAAGGGCGGGCGAGAGGGTGGCAGAGCCACCCCCCCATGCCCCCGGCACGGCCCTGGGGGTGTCACGGGACGGGACGATGCTGAGGGGGGGTGACGATGCCTCCCTGGGGGGATGCCCGCCGCCCACATCCCTGCTCTGCTCTGGCATGGGGGGCTCCCCAAAGCCCCCCCAAAACCGTGGGGGTTTTGGGGACCCCATCGATTGTCTCCGCAGTGCATCCCCCTCGGGAACAGCCCCGGGCCACCGGTAGCCCCGGCGCGGCTCCTGCTGGCCCACATTTAGCATCTTCTAGGGCTTATTTTGGGGAGGGGGGAGCGGGGGCTGCCCGCGCCCCTCTGGCTGTATTTTTAGTCCTTTCCTTATAAGGTTCCCATGAATTTTGGGAGCTGAGAGCGGAATGAAGTCATCGCTGAGGTCATCCCGTCTCGTCCCCCCCTCCCTGTCCGGCGCGGGCTCACCCCACAGGGAGTTTTTGTGCGGGCTCCATTGAAATCCCCCTCACCCGGCCCGGGAGGAAACAAAACCCTTCCCTGGCTGGCGGGGGGCCAGGCTGCGGGGGGCTGCAGGAGATGGGCGGAGGCTGTGGGGGCTGCAGGGGGTTGTGGGGGCTGCAGGAGGCTGTGGGGGCTGCAGGAGGCTGTGGGGGGCTGCAGGAGCTGGGGGGGTGTCTGTGGGGGCTGCAGGAGGCTGTGGGGGCTGCAGAAGGGTATGAAGGGCTCCAGAGGCTCTTAAAGCTCCAGCCTGGCCAGTCCCTGGCAGCTCCCCCACAGCTGCAGCCCTCAAGACCCCCTGCACCAGCCATGGTGGTTGTACCTGGGCGTGGAGCAGGGCTCAAGGTGGGGTTGGCACTTCCATTTCTCTTTCCAGCCCCCAAAATCACACCCTGTGCCCTCGGGGGATGGGACGGTGGGTGCTGCTCATGTGGCACTTTGGTCTTCCAGGGAAGGTGTGGGTGTGCTTGGTGGGTGTCCAAGCTGCAGCCCCCGTGGGGGAACCTGGACACACCCTGGGGTCATGTTTGGTCCAAACAGGGTCACACTTGATCCCACCGGGGTCACACTCAGTGCTTAGGGGCGCTCCTGGCCCCACTGGGGGGACACTCGATCCCATTGAGGACATGGTCAGTCCCATTTGGTCCTGTCTGGGACACACTCGGTCCCTTTGGGGGTTGATCCTATTGGGGACACACTTGATTCCATTGGGGACACAGTCCCATCAGGGACACACAGTCCTGTCGAGGACACACCTGGTCCCATCAAGGTCACAGTCGGTCCCACCAGGGACACCCTTGTCCTGTCCCTGCTCACTCCCTCGGGCACTTGCCAGGTGTGGATGAACCTCGCTGGGGTTTTGCTCTCCAGGCTGCAGCCCCGGGAGGCTCCAAAGGCTCCAGCAGCCACCCCCACCCCCAGGGTGACTCCCAGACCTCGGCACTTCACCCCATTCTCCTCCTCCTCCTCCTTCTTCTTCTCGCGGGGAGGAAGGGGCTCCCCCTCCCCCCACCATCTGTCCCCCCTCATCACTCTGTCAGCACCGGCTGGAATGTGGATTAATTTCGGGAGGAATGTCACCCCCCGCCTGGCGAAGCCTCGCCCGCGCCATCTCCATCTCCATCTCCATCTCCATCTCCTCCGCAGCATCCTCCACCCTCCTCCTGGCCCAGGGACCCCCGGCTTTGGGGACCCCTAGGGGGGCCCTGGGAGGCTCGGGGTGGGAGCGGGGAGGCTGCTGGAGCTGCTGCCGGGCTGATGCTGCCCAGACGCCTGCAGGGTGTGCTGGGCCGGGGGCTGATTGAACGCAGACTCGGCGCCTGATTAAACTCCTGGGAGGGGGATATTTTTTATTTCGGTGTTTGGAGCCGTTGGAGTTTAACCTTAAAAGGAAACTGTCGCCTCTGGGCAGGGGAGGGGGCCGGGGGCTTTGCACGGAGGAAGGCAGATAAGTGCTGGCTCCTTATCGGTGCCCTGGCTCTGAGCATCCCTGGGCGCTGGCACGAGGACGGGACGGGCTAAATCCGGTGCGTGGGCAAGCGGCGGGGCCAGCCAGGCGGGAGCGGCGCTGAACACACCCGTGGGTGCGAGGCCGGCGGTCCCCAGGGATGCCGTGGCCACCCGGGTCCCCTCGTCCCCTCGCCCGGGGTGACTCAGCCCTTTGCCCGGCATAAAGGAGCCCATTCTTCAACCGGAGCCTCATTTGTGCGGCTCTTCCCGCGCCGTCCCCACGCCCGGCTGCACAACGGGGTGATTGAGGCCCCGGCTCCTCTCACAGCACCCTCCCCCCACGAAGCCCAGCACCCATTGGATGAGGGGGCCAAGATTCGTCTGTCGGGGTCCCCACCGCGATTCCGGGGTTCCCGCAGCTCCCGGGAGCCACGGGCTGTCCCGCGGGCATCGTGCCCAGCCCGGGCAGGAACAGCGGCTGGTGCTGTCGGCTCCTGGCTCCGGGCACTGGCACGGGCACGGGGTGGGCTGGCGTCCCGCCCCATTCCTGCCGGCAGCCCAGGCCGAGGTTGGGAAAATGCCCGGCCAGCAGCGAGCCCTGAGTGGCATCTGCGGGGCCCCGGGGCCGGGGGAGCATCACCTCGGGGGGCTGCCCCTCTCTAGGGGTGGGGAAACGTCACCCTGGGGATGGGGCTGCATCACCCGAGGGGATCTGCATCTCCACAGGAGTGGGGGAGCATCACTCCACGTGTTGGGGGGGCATCGCCTGCCCCAGGGGGTTGCATCACCCTAAAGGTGAGGCCGCGGTGCCCCGGGGATGTGCATTGTCTTGGAGGTGGGGGAGCATCATCCCTGTTCCCAGCCCGTGCTGACTGACAGGACACACACTGCCCCAGGGATAGGGGAGCATCATCCCGGGGAATCTGTCCCCAGTCACGCTGATGGATGGCCCCGAGTGCCATTTCCTAGCAGCGAACAACCTGGAAGTGCAGCCCCCACCCCAAACTGTGCTCTCCCCCACCCCAGCGCTGCTGCCCCCTCCCCTCCCATCCCCCCGGAGTGAGGAGAGCTGGAGCTCTGAGTTGGGAGGATGAGGCTTTATTAAATTAACGTCAGGGCAGCGGAAACATCCAGCTTGGCTCAGCCCCCTTGCCCGCAGGTCGGGGCTGGGGACTCCGGGGTGACGTCACCCCGAGGCACTGAGTCCTGGGGTGCAGCATGGGGGGGTCCCCAGCCTCCAGCTGGCCTTCCTGGGGCAGATGCTGGGGGGGGTGGGGGGCAGAAGGAGAGGAGATTGCAGGGAAGGGGGAAACACAGAGTTTAAATTAAATACAGCCATGGCAACCCACCCAGAGGAGGCTCAAAATGAGCTGGGGGGTCCCAAAGCAAGCATGCGAATTTTTTTGGTGGGGGAAGGGGGGAGGGGAAGGGGAGGCTGTGGGGTAAAAGAGAGCTTGGTGGTTCTTCACTCTGAAAAGGGGTGCAAAAAATCCACACAAACACGTTAAAAACCGTAAGGAGGCGGGGAAGCATTAGGAGGGTGGGTGGGGGAAATGGGAGGGTGCTGGGCCATGGCAGGGAAGGGGCTGCAGTGGGGAGGGCACTGTCACTCGTCCCCCGAGGACCAGGGCTCCTGCTCGGCTCTTAGGCGACACGCTGGTGGCTGGTCAGCTGTGAGGCACAGGACATCCTCCCCGAGGGCAGGGGGCACGGTGTCTGCTCCGCCGTGTTTGCCCCAGGGGGTGCCATCGCCCAGCTTGGCCGTGCCGGCGTCTCGGGGAGCGAGGGACTCAGCTGGTGTCACCACGGAAGGGTCTGCGGTCCCCGAGGGGAACTCCCGCGCCGGGGCCATGCTGGCGATGCCGTTCAGCACCTCCTCGGTGAACTCGGCCAGGTCCTCCAGACTGGCCTCCCGGTGCAGCCCGTTCGCAGCCTGAACCCGACCCTCCGTGCCCGGCGCCGCCTCTCCCGGCACCTCCTGCACCGTCGGCTCCTCCTCACTGGATGAGGCGGGCGAGGAGTCCTCCCCAGCATCCCGGGGGAGTTCGGTCCTGCCAGGACCCTGCTGCCCTCCCTCGGCCGCCCTCGCCCCCATCACCAGCTCCTGATTGAACTCCAGGGCCTGCTCCACTATTTCCAAAATATCGGAGTCCTTCATGACGTCCACTGGCGCCTTTGCAGGGAGGACAGGCGTGTCAGGGGTGTCCGTAATCACCTCTGGAAAACCTCCCTGCTCCAGTGCAGAGCCCGGCCGGGGTGGGTCGGCCTCAGGGGCCTGCTCCTCCCCTGCTGAGGGAAGATTGTCACCCTCTGCTACTTCTTCCCCCACGGGTGGTTGCTCATCCGACGGCTGCTCCGCCTGCTCAGGCATTGCCTGGGCCTGGAGCTCTGCCGGAGGGGTGGCCTCGGCTGTGTCATGGTGAGCCATGCCAGGCTCATCCTCATCCACCTCCTGCTCCTCCTCCTGCCCCACCAGCCCCAGGCTGCAGGCTGGGAGTGCTGTGGCTCCACTGACATCGCTCTCCAGCTCGACTGTGCCCTGGAGCTCCTCATCCAATTCAGCAGCCAAACCCTCAGAGTGCTCGGGTCCCTCCTGTGCTCCGGTGCCCGTGGCACCCTGGGCTGGCTGGTCAGTGCCTCCTATTGATGGTCCCATGGCCTCGGGGCAGCTGGGATCTGCTTCAGGCATAGCTGGGCCTTCCTCCAGCTCAGCAGTGTCATCCTCCTCCTCATCCTGTGGCATCTCAGGTTCTCCTGTGGGCACCTCCACGTCTTCTTCTGTGGGCACCTCCACGTCTTCTTCTGTGGGCACCTCCATGTCTTCTACTTCCCCAGCAGAAATCTCAGGTTGCTCTTTGCCTTCTGGCACTGGAGATGCTTCTCTGGGAGCTCCCAGGTCACCTTGGCTGCCTTCAGTTGCTTCCACTTTAATTTCTTCAAAGTCCTCGGAGATCTCGAGCTTCCTCCGAGCTGGACACCTCTTGGCTGGGAGCGGAGACCATGAAATATCCTTCCTCCTCCTCAGCACCTTCTGCCACAGGGGCCACCTCTGCCTCTGCCTCTTCTTCAGGGCTCTCTGGCATGGTGGGAGTCAGTGGCTTGTCCCTCCCTTCCAGCCACCCTTCCCCCTCTGGAGCGGTTCCAGTCACAGGGTCTGGCTCCGTGGTCTCCTCGATCTCAGGTGGGGTTTGGCTGGGTGCACCCCCAGCCAGCATCTCCCCCTCGTAGAGGTGCAAGGGTGTGCTGTCTGGCAGAGTGTCCTCCAGCTCCACCCTCCTGCCGGTGCCTGGGGCGGGTTCCGAGTCTCCCGACCTCCCGAAATCCTCCTCCACCCACTCGCCGCTCTCTGTGCCCTCCCCCGACACCTCCTGTCGTGCCAGGAGGCCGGAGCTGCTGCTCTCTGGCTGCCCCAGCTCTGAGCTGAGCTCCTCTTCAGTATCCTCACCCTGCACCTCCCACGGCTCCTCCAGAGCCTCAGCTGGCTCCTGGCTGTCCCCTTGCCCCGGGGCACGTGGGGTGGCTGGGTCAGGCTGCCCTGTGGTGCCCTCCTGCTCCTCCCCTGCCAGCTCCGGTGCTGGCTCAGCCTCTGGCAGTGGCTGCTGCTGGCTCATCCCCTGGCTCTTGGCATCTTCTTCATCGTCTTCCTGGGTTTCCTCCAGCTCTGCTGGTGGTGTGCCATCTCTCTCCTCACTTTCCAGCCTTCCTGTGCTGGACGGGGTGTCATCCGCCCAGGCTGGCTCTTCTGTGCCCAAAGCCCCCTCCGTGTCCTCTGCTGTCACCTCCCAGTCCTCTGGACAGGGCTCTTGGCCATTGCCATCATCCTCCTTACCCCAGGACTCCTCTTCCAGCTCCAGCTCCTCCTGTTCCCCCCCGTCTTCCACAGAAGCTGCTCTGGCTTCCTGCAGGTCCTCGGGCTGCTCTGGGGCTCTGCTCTCCCACTCCAGGGTGTCACCTCCTGCAGCCTCTCCTGCCTCGGGATCCTCTTCTTTCTTGGGGTCCTCTCCTGCCCCAGGATCCTCTCCTGCCTCAGGGTCTTCTCCTGCCCCAGGGTCCTCTCCTGCCCCAGGGTCCTCTTCTGCCCCAGGGTCCTCTCCTCCCATCATCTCCCTGCTGGCTTCTCCCTTTTCTCCCTCACCATCTTTCACTCTGCCTGTGTCCTCCCCTCCCACAGCATCTTCTTCAGCTCCTGATGAAGCCTCCTCTGCTGGGATGGCCTCGTGGACACTTGAGGGTTCCTGCTCTGGGCACAGCTCCTGTTCCCTTTCCTGCTCTGCAACCTCTGTCTCACTCACAGTCATTTTCTGATGCTCAGACTTTTCCTGCTCTACATCAACAAAGTCCTCTTCCAGGTGACTCTTTGTGGGTGAAACCAAGTGGCTTTCCACGAGGACAGCCTGAACAGCTTCCACTTCCCTGTCTGGGGACTCCTCCTCTGGCTCATCCCCTCCTTCTCTGTGGAAATCTCCATCCTCCTCGCAGGGACTGTGGGGTCCCCTCTCTTCCTCATCTTCTGAGGGTTGTGATGGCTCTGTGCTTGGGGTGTCTTCCCCATCCTCCTCTCGCTCTGGTTCTTCCCAGCTGGTCACTGTCTGTCCAGGACCACTCACATCCTCTTCCTGGACCTCTGCTCCTGGATCCCTTGGGCTCAGCACAGCAGGCACCTCCTCCTCCTCCTCCTCCTCCTCCCACGCTCCCTGCTCTTCCCGGCTCACTGTGTCACTCAGAGAATCGGCCGTGCCCAGTGGGGACGTGGCTCTGTCCCCCGGGGTGCTGCTCTCCACCCCCAGCCCCTGGAGCTTGGCTTCCCCAGCTTTCTCCTCCACTTCGGGGCCATCGCCGTCCTCAGGGCCCTCGGTGGGGTCTTGCCCTTCCCCTGCCCCCTCTACCACAGCCCCATCACAAACCTCTGCGGGGACAACGGGGCTGGGGGCACGGGCATCCTGCGGGGCCCACGTGGCGCTGAGGGCGGGCTCTTCTTGGGGCTGAGCCTCCTCTTCCATCTCCTTGAGCGCGTCCTCCAGGGCCTCGCTGACCAGCTGGGCCGGGTACTGCAGGCTGCGGGTGGGGCCCGTCCCCGGGGACTTCACGCCGTCCTCGGGGGTCTCCGTGGTGGCTCCAGGCAGGGGATGCTCCGTCCCTTGGCTCGTCATCCCCCCGGCTCCCCCCGGCCAGGCAGGACCCTCTGCCCCCGGGCTCCTCGGCTCCGGTGGGGAGGGGCTGGGGGGCTCTGGGGACAGAGGAGGGGCGGCTTTGCCGGGCTGGGAGGGGCTCGCTGTGGGGCACCCGGGGGCACCCGGACCCCCAACCCTGCCAGCAGCTGCGCCATGGAGGACCGAGCTGATTTTCTGGAGCTCCCTGGCACTGGCGCTCTGCAATTTGGGTGTCAGGGTGTCGCTCTGAGGTTTCACCGGCTGGGCCCTCCCCTCTGCCCTGGGGAAGACAGAGGGGCTGGTGCAGTGGTCCCGGGGCAGCAGCCACCTGGGCTCGGGGCTCGCTGGTACCAGTTTGCTGCTGCTGCTGTTGCTCACCTCCAGTTTGAGATCTGCGAAGAGGGAGTTGGAGCGGTGAGCGGCTCGAGAAGCTGCTCCGCGGCTCCCTCAGCCCTCCCCCTGCCGCCTGGCAGCCTCTCGCTGCCCCCTCTCCTATTTTTAAACAACCCCTTCGTGGAAAGTGGGAAATTCCTCCCTCTTGAGTGCAGCGGATGCTGATGTTCCCTGGGGATTTGGCATCAGGCCGGGACAATGCTCTGTCCCGGCTGCAGCTCACAGTCGGGTCCTGCTGCTGGGGAAAGTGTGCAGGTGGGAGGCTTTCCTCGTCATTTTATTTTGGAGGAAAAAGGAAATGCTCAACTTGTTACCGCAGCCCGCTGTCCCGCTGGGCGGATCTGCTCCTGCCCTGCCCGTGCAGGGCAGGCATTAAAAAAAAAAGAGGCAAAGAAGCAGATAAGCCTTATCTGGGGCTGAGAGCCCCGTGCCAGGAGCCCCCCCAGGGCCGCTGTTCACACCTTCCTATCTCAGCCAGGAAACCGCTGCCAGGAAAACGCAGGAAAATGTGCCTATATCCAGCCTCAGCCCCCCCGAGCCCCGCCCCAGGGAGACACAGTGGCGGTGCAGGGGCTGGCTCTGGGGGTCCCTTACCTCGCACGCCGTTGGCCAGCCTGAATTCCCCGGCTGGCATCTGCAGACGGGTGCTCTCTGCTTCCAGCAGCGTCCTGCGGGGAGAGGAGAGCGGTGGGTGCTGCAGGGTGGGCGCTGCACGGTGGGTGGGTGCTCCCTGTGCACCCCCAGCTCACCCTGCTGGGCTAAGACAGGTGAGGGAGTAGGTAAACTGAGGCACGGAGGGGCTACAGATGGTTGTGCTGCCCTGTCACGGCTCGGTGAGGGGACGGGGGGGGACCGGAGGAGCCCCCTCGCTCCTGTCTCCCCTCCCATCCCCCCGTGGCCGGGATTAGTGTACTCGCAGGGTGACATCATGCTCTGCCGGGGAGGCCCCTCGCCTGGGCTGGGACAGCCCCTATTCTCATGCTAATTGTCCCCCCCGTCCCTGGCAGGCGGCCTTTGTGTGGGGCCATCTGGAAGGGCCGCAGAAGGGGCACAGGGCTACCCCTACCGAGACCTCCCTTGTGCCCCGAGACCCTCCTGTGCCCGCCGAGGTTCGGGCCCGGCTCCCTGCGTGTTGGGGAAGCTCCCCCCGGGGCCCATTCCCGGCGGGAGCCTCACCTGTAGGTCGCCACTTCCAGGCTGAGGGACATCTTGAGGTGCATGAGCTGCTGCCTGTCCTCCAGCACCCGCGCGATCTGCACCCGCAGGCTCTGCTGCTCCTGCTCCAGGGCCTCCATTGCCAGCTGTGGGGGCAGCACAGGGCGGGTCAGGGAGCCTCAGGTTCACCTGAGCCCTGCTGGTCCCTGCCGACCCGGGACCAGGCAGGTGGATCATCCCCTCGGGATGCTGCGGGGAGAGGAGTCCTGGGCGCTGGATTTTAGCCCGGGGGGGGTGCTGAGGATGGGGCGAGGAGAGGGGCAGGGCTGAGAGGCGATGGGGAAACGGCTGCTGGAGGGGGAGCAAAGGCCGGGGCGGGGGGGGATTTGGTACTGTGGGGCGCCAGCGTGGGAAAGAACCAACTTTTGAGTGAGCAACCAAAGCCGCAGCACCCTCTGCCCTGAGACACCAATGGCTGATCCCGGGACCTGGAACAAAGAGAGACCCTTCCCCGGGCAGCGTTCACGCCATTCCCACATTTCCAGCCCCCCCTGCCTCCACCTCCCTCTGCTGAATCACTTTTGCAGCTGTTGAGTTGCAGCTGCAGCAAAGTCGGTCGGAGTTTATCCTGCCCACAATCCCCACCCCCCCGTTGCCTGCACCCCGCTGCCTGCACCCCCTGTCAGGGGGCCACGGGAAGGGGCTGCCTCTCCCCAGGGACCCTGGCCCTGGAGCCCAGCAGGACGTGGAGCAGCAGCCTCGGGCAGCTGTTGGGGACGTCTCTGGGTGCTGCTTCCCTACAGTGGGGGTGGCCCAGCTCCCTGTTGTGATGGGGACAGGGATGTCCCCAAGCTGCTCTGCTCAGTCTCCCACCCTCCCCAGCTTCATCTCCCTCTGCAGCTCCTCCAGGGCCACAGCCCATCCCTGCCCTGGGGTTTGCTCCCTCATCTTGCCTTCTCCCATCTGTCTCCCCCATCCCTTTGCTGGAGGGGGTGTGTGTGCCCTGAGCCTCCTCCCAGGCACCCACAGCCCCCCATTCTCCCCTTCCCCAGGGTCCCAGTGCCTCCCCACCACCCTCACTCACCTGGAACTTCTCTGCCTCCCCACGCTGCTCCTGCCACTGCTGGGCCAGGCTCTCCTCCAGCATCTCCTTCCGCGCTTTGAGCCCCGCCAGGTCCTTCTCCAGGTGCTGCAGCTGCAACTGGCTCTGATGGTTGTCCTCCACTGCTTTCCACAGGTTCTCCTTGGCCTGGCACAGGGAGCCCTCCAGCTGCGACACCTCCGCCTTGTAGGTCTCCACTGCCCCTTTCCAGATCTCCGAGAGCCTCTTGGAATAGTCCTCCACCTCCACGGGCTGGAATGCCACCGGGGCACAGCGGAAGCTCTCCAGGCTCTGGGAGTAGCTGGTGATCTCCTGGTCCAGCCCCGCTTTCTCCTCCTCGTGCACCTCAAGCAAGGCTTCCACCTCCTTCTGCAGCTGCACGGCTCTCTCCTTCAGCCAGATCTGTGCTCTCCTCTCCTCCTCCAGCTCCTTCCTGCTCAAGGACAGCTGCTTCTTGGCCTCCTCTCGGGCTGCCTGCTCCTTCTGGCACCTGCTTTTCACCTGCTGGACCTCCTCGTAGAGGTTGTCCCTGGCCAGCTCTGCCGTACACTTCTCTCTGAAGGCGCGATCCAGCGCATCCCGCAGGGCTCGCAGCTCCTCCTCGTACTTCCCCCGCCACGAGTCCCCGGCAGGGCTACCCTTGGCGCTCTGGATTTCAGCTCGCAGCACCTCGTTCTCCTCCTCCAGGAACTTCACGCGCGCCAGATACGCCTCCAGCCGCTTGTTGAGGTCCCACATCTGCAGCGATTCCTCTCCCAGGGCTCTCGCCCCGGCGAAACTTTCCGTGCTCAGCATCGGCGCTGCCGGAGGGTGCCGGGGCTCTGGGGCCGGCACTGCCAGAGGAAGACGCCGGGGAGGAGGATGCCGGGGAGGATGCCGAGGCTCTAGAGGAGAGGGAGGGCAGGGAGGGAAGTGAGTGGCTGAGAGCAGAGGGGAGCACAGCTATTCATACTCTGCGAGGACGAGTGGGAGGCCCCCGAGACCCGGGCGAGCAGCCGGGTTTAACTCTTGCACAGCCGGGCTGGCTGCAGCCCACGTGGGCTCGACGCTGAGCTCTGCTCCAGCACCGTGATGTCGCAGCCCTGGGGAGGGGCAAGGTGTTCCTTTACACTTTGGGAGGGTGACCTGAGGGTTTGGATCCTCCCCCGGCGTGGCTTGACTGGGAATGCCCTCCCCAAAGCCCGAGTGCGATACCAGGGAGTTGGAGGGCTGCCGTGGGGCTCGGCGTGGAGCTTGGGAGATGGCCAAGGGCAGTTGGCAGATGCCCATCCCGGAGGGCTTGGCTGCAGCGTCCCTCCCTCCGCAGTGTCCGGCCGGCCCCGTGCTCTGAGACCCGGGTGCAGGGGAGCCCAGGAGGAGCCCACCGAGGGTCTCCCAGTCCTGGGGAGGTGATGGCTGCACCGAGAACACCGGTGCCACTCGGGACGCGGGGCTCTTTTGGGCTCAGCACAAACCACGGTGCCCGGGGATCCATCCGAGAGGAGAGAGGGAGAACCACCTTAGGGGACAGTGGGGGGACACGGAGTGCCATCCCAGCCACCCCTGTCTTCCTCCGACCCCCCACCCCCACCCAGCGGTGGAGCTGCATCCAGCTGCGTCCAGCTGCATCCCTCCTTCTCTCCAGATGTTGGCGGTGGGATATGCCGAGCGCAGCCGGGAGCCCGACGGGAGCTGCTCCGCCGGCAGCCTCCGAAACTTGGCAAGCGCCGGCTCAGCGTTTGATTTCCTTCACAGCTTCCACCCGCACGGTCAAGCCGTCACGGTCGGGATAAGAATCGCTTCACGGGGAGCGTTTGGGGATTAGGAGTTTTGATTTTTTTTATTTTTTTTTTTTAATTTTTCCCAGCTGATTTATCTGGGGGAAGGGGGGCGAGCTAGCAAAGAGGAGGAGATTTAAAAATTCCAACTCGGGAGGTTTCTGTGAACAAAAGAGGCAGGAAAACATCACTTGGGGAGAGACTTGTTGCCAGCTTTCTCCCGGTCCTCCCTCTCCCGAGAGACGGTGTTTTTTTTCCCACAGGAGGGTGCGTGCTCTGTCCTCACCATGGCAAGGAGGACAAGAATGTCCCCTCCCGAGCTGTCCCACGGGAGAGGTTCCAAACGAGAGTTTCTGGAGAGACAAGCAACAGTCCCCTCTGCTGGCAAAGGACGCCCAGAGCCACCCAGAGAAGTCCCCGAGCTCCTCCCAGCCTCGAACCACCCGGGAGCTGCTGGGGGCCCCCGACACCGCCCACATCTGGGAGCAGCAGTCACGGAGTCCCAGCACCCGGCTTTCCCCTGGTGCCTGGATGGTGGGCAAGGGGGAATGACCCGGCTCGGGGGTCCCCAAAGGCATTGCCTTTCCGGCTCATCTCCGGCCAGACATCCTGTCTGGCTCCCTGGCCCCGGCTCTGCTTTGCCTCTCACAGCCAGGACTGAAAGGCCATTAAGGAGCACAGGGAGCTCTGAGGTCGGATAATTCACCCGGGGTCCCCGGAGCCCCGGGCAGCAGTGGGGGGTGAAGCCTTGCTGTGTGTCTTCATCCTCCCCCTCTCCATTTCCACAGCTCATCTGCTCCAGAGCTGGCCATTCCCACTGCTTGGCTGCTCCCACTCTCCTCCTCCTGGGCTGTCCAGAAGCCTGCAGGGTGTCCAGGTGCCCCTGGGGTGGCTGGGTGCCCCTAATATTGGTGTCTGACACAAGACAGCCCCCAGTGCCTGTGGTTACTCCCTTCTGGGAGGGAGTGTTTCCCTCCTCCCTGGCCTTACTCCCCCTTCCTCCTCATACTTTTGCTTTGGATTCCTCACTGTGCCCAGCCCCACTCCCTCAGCCAGCACCAGGGCTTGGTGGGACAGAGCAAATCCTGCAGCCCAAGGAGGACTCGGGGTCCCCAGGGGTGCTGGGGGTCCTGGGGCCTCCCTGCCTTGGGGAGAGCTAGGGGGCACCCTGAGGTGGGCGTGTCTGTGTATCCCTTCCTTCTGCTGGGTGCTCGGGTTTGGGAGTGACTTGGGATGGGGTCATCTGTGTCCCTGGGGAACACTGGGGGTCAGGACCCCCTGGGATGGGGTCTCTGTGTCCCTGGGGAACACTGGGGGTCAGGATCCCCTGGGATGGGGGTGTCTGTGTCACTTGGGGGGGGTGCTCAGGATCAGGATCCCCTGGGGTGGGGATGTCTGTCCCCCTGTCCCCGTGGGGTGCTCAGGGGGGGGCGTTCAGCATCAGCAGAGGTTTTGAGGGGGCAGCAGCTTTGAGGGTGCTCCAGCCCTGCTGCCTCAGTGGGTGGGGGCTGGTGAGTGCTGTCGAGCCTGGCACAGGGTGCGTGACAGCAGCTGGTACGTGACTTCAAGCAGGGCTGGAGGAGGAGGAGGAGGAAGCACAGCTGGGCACTGAGGCCCTTCCAGGCTGGACACAGCTGGGACTTGGTGGGGGGGTGCAGCTGTGGGAGTCCCCATGAGGCTGGGATCCTTTTCCATGCCCTTGGCTGCTGGAGCTGGGCCTGGGAGGTCCCCTGCACCTCTGGAACTGCAGGCAGGGATGGATATTCTCTGGTGTCTAACAAGGGTTAGACAATACCTGCTGCTGTCTTGCTTCTCTCCCTTCTCCCCTGCCCATTCCAGGAGCTGGATGTCCCAAGGGCCTTGCTCCAGTGACCAAAAGGGACCAGGAGGGACCAGGAGGGAAGGAGCTGGCAGAGCAGCAGCCCTGGAAGATTTACTCTGAGCCAGCAAGGAAACCCCAGGCACGCCGGGAACATTTGTTCCCAATTAGGATGGGGGATGCTCCTCCCTGAGCAGGCACTCCGCGGTTCCCCCGGCCTCCAGCCCGTTCCCACAAAAGCTCCTGGTGCAGGATGTGACCTCATGGCTCAGGTTTTTGGGGGGCAGAGGCTGGGGCAGCCTGTGGGTTTCACCCCTGCCCGTGCCGGTGCCCGTGGCAGCCCCTGCTCCGCGGTGCAGATGCCTGCAGGGCAGAGCTCTGCAGTGTGTGTGTGTGTGTGTCCCCACCGGAGGAGCATCACCCGCTGCACTCGTATCCCCCACCCAACTGCTCCGCTAACGAGACCGTCTCTGCCGCCTGCAATTATTTCCCAGGGCGACGAGTGATTAATTCTGCTCAGGAGCTGCGGCTTTCTGCAAACTCACCCGAGCAATTCCCTGGCAGGCTCCGCGCCAGCCCCCCCCAGTCCCTCCCCGGGCGGGGGATGCTCCGTGCCAGGGAAAGTTTGAGCGAGATCTGGTTAAAAAAAGCCCCAGTGCCAAAGCTGTCCTTCTGCCAAGGGGCTTGGGTCTGCAGATGCCCCAGGACCCCACTGAGGTGCCCAGGTCCCCACACATCCCTCCAGGAACAAGCATTCAAGCCTAAAGATGCATAAATTATCCTGGCGTGAATTAACCCTGCCATGGACGCAGGCGGGTAAACTGAGGCACGGCACGTCTGTCTGCTGGACCAAGCCAGGCTGTGAGTGCTGTGCCGGGGGGTGGCATCTGCCTGCTCCCAACACACTTTTGGGGCTGGCGAAGGGTCCCCCCGGCCCCCGGATGGTGCCTTCACCCACTGTGGCCTCACCGCCAAGGGGCTTTTGCATAACAAAGCCCCCACTGGGTACTGGGACCCCCGCCTGTGGTCCACTCTCCGTCCTGCTGGAGCTGCCAAATATTAGGAATAACCATCCCAAGGACATTCTGATGCCATGGGAGGGGTCTGCGGTAGGGGGATCCCCCATGTCCGGCAGGGTCCGGGGGTCCCAGAGCCGGTTGCTCGCCCACTTCTGCTGCATTGGGTTAACACCGTGCCCGGGCTGAGCATCCTTCTCTCGTGCGGGGTTTGCCAGCTGCCAGGAGGGAGGGACGGGGAGGGACGAGGCGCCTGCCAACACCGTAATATCTTTTTTTTTTTTCCCTTCTTAATTAGGGGAAGGAATAAATATAAAAGGAGGAGGGAAAGGGGAAGGAGAAAAAAAAAAAAAAAAGGAAAAAAAAGAAGAGTGGAGGACACGAACACACACACACTCACACAGAGAAGCCTCTTTTCTCGGTGCCTGCACTTATGCCTGGTGCAGCTCTTTCCCAGCCGTCCTGCCAACCTGCTGCCGCCCGCCGCCCGCGCTGCCCCGGAGGAGCCGCAGCTCAGCCCCGCACCGGTACCCCGGGCAAGGGGACCCCCCGCTCCCCCCGCCGCACAGAGGGGCCTCCTCCGCGGGGCTGCAGCCACGCACGGAGCCAGGTGGGATGCGGAGAGCGCGTGGTGTCCCCCCCAGGGGTGCGGGGCCGGCGGTGCCCCGGGCGCTGCGGTGTCCCCGGGGCGCTGCCGTACTGCGCTTTTCATCTCAGGATCGCGTTTCACCTCCGCACGGGCGGAAAAGTGAGACGGGAGCCGAGCCGGCGTGGGGATGCCAAGAGCTTTCCCCGTGCTTTTTCCCCGGGAGGGGCACAGGGCATCCTCCTGCCCTGCAGCGGGGGGTGGGGGGATGCTCGGACTTGGGGGTCCCCGCGGTGCCGCTTCGGGGAGGTTTGTCCTTGTCACCGGCGCCCCCGAGCACAGCATCGCGCTGCATTTTTTTTTTTCTAAGGGATCAGCTTGTAGCGGCTCCGCAGCGCCGAAGCCAGAGCGGGGGTTAGGGGGGGGGGCCTTGAGAAGTTGGAAGGAGAAAGGACTTTAGTACTGGCCGGCTGCTGCAGCCTGGAGCACAGCCCGTCCCGCAGCGGGGCTCGAAGGGATTGGGGTTACGGGCGATTCACCGGCTGTTTAAGCAGCTGCTCCCACGGGACCCTCGTTTTGGGAGAGGGGTCAGGGATCCAGGATGGGTCTGGGGTGTCCCGTCACGGGGGAACCCTCCCCATCTGTCCCGCGGAGTCTCCCGTGGGGTCCTGGTCCCGAGGAGGCTGCAATCAGGGCAGCAGTGGAAAGGGAAACTGAGGCATGGAGCTGGGCACGGGTCCGGCTCCCACCGCTCCTGCCCGGCCGTGTCGCTACTCCCCGTGGTGGTGGGGGGTGGTTTATGCGCAAAGCTGCCGGTTCTGGGGGGGGCTGGGGACGAGCGCAGGGTTTGGGGTGGCTCTAGAGCACCTCCGGGTCTCCCTGTCCTCCCCCAGCTCTCTCGGCTCCGATGTCCGGCTCTGTCCCAGTGAGGGGGACGGGAGGGGTCGGGGGAAAATTTGTCAGGATTTTCACGGCTCTTCCCAACCGAACAGCCCCAGTGCGAACCCCACGTGCCCCGTGGGGTGCCCCAGGTGGGGGTTGTTTGCCGCAATCCCCCTCCCCTCCCGCAGCCAGAGCATTTCGTCCCCGGGACGAAGGGGCTGCCCTTGAGCATCCCTGCCAGGGAGCGCTGCTCCCGTCACGCCGACTTCTCCCGTCTCAGCGCAACCCAGAACCTGTTGCTCTTCCTTTTGGCTGCCGTTGGGGGGGTGGGTGGGAGAAACTCCCTCTGTCCTAGCCCAGAGCCGTTTCCAGCTTCTGGGCACAGGGAGAGTGCGATCGGGATACTTTAGGGCTGCTTTTCAGGGAATGGATTTAGGCTGGGAAATCTGGGAAATCGGGTGATCTTGCGCCGGGAACGGGGAGATGCGAGTTGGCCGGTGAGCGGCAGTGGGGCTGGGTCCCAGCTGAGCAGCAGCGCTGAAGTCTGGGACCAACCACCATCCTCCACTCAGCCCACTTCTCTCCCACCTGGTGCCTCAGTTTCCCCACCAGAGCCCCCCAGGCGGGGATGGGTGTGCAAACCTTCACGTGTGTGTGTGTGACACGCTTACCGGGGGGGTGCACATGCTCACGTGTGCCTGGAGGGTTCCTGCGGGGTCTGCTCCCGCCCCCACCCCTCCGTGTGGGACTGCATCTCCCCAGGGACTCCTCCCCTCACTTCCCACAGCCCAGCCCCGCAACAAGGAGCCCCTTTCTCCCTGCTGGGGTGGGGAGGCAGGGGGTTCTGGCAGCTGGAGGGACCCCTCCCCGCCCCGTTCTCCCCACCTGCTTCCGGCCCTTTAAGCTCTGCCAGCAGCTGCTGCCAAGAGGCTGCCGGGCTCTTCCCGCTGCATACCCCGAGCTGGCATGTCCCTGGCACTGCCCCGCTCCGGGGACCCCTCCGAGGGTCGCACCCCACCCACCCGCGGGGGTGGGGACGAATCTTGACCGCAGCACCAGTTTGCATCACCGCGGGATGGAGGGGGATGGACGGACACGGCGCAGCCACACGCGAACCGTGGCTGCGGGTCCGTCCGGCAGCCGGGGCGGCAGCGGGGTGTCCGGAGCCCTTTGCATTGCTGGGGATGGGGCTGGAGCGGGGCCAGACCGTGCCGGCGGCTGCTGACTCATTCTGCAGCTGAGCATCCCTGGAAAGCCACCGCTCTGCTCCCCCCCTCCTCCGGCTCGCTGCGGGCTGGCAGGGCACCTTGGGAGCCGGGATGAGTAACCGTCACGTGGAGGGGACGAGGGGCTACGGAGGAGAAAACCCTCCTTCAGACATGAGAAGGGACCCCCTCCCCTTGCAGCATCTCCTGCCTCACGCCCTGGACCGGGTGCTGCAGCCCCAAATCCTGCTGGCCCCACATCCGAGGGGCCGCCTCTGAAAGGAGGGCCGAGCTCAGGGGAGAAAGAAAGATCACTCCTGTCCCAAAATAGACTTCAGCTCTATTTTCCACCTGGTTTCCCACGGAAATGGAGGTTAGCCGGCCCTGCCACGTGCATGCCTGTGTCTCAGTCCCTCCCTGGCATCTCCTGAGCTCTGAGGTTTCAGAGGCAATTGAGCATCTGCCATTCCCCCTCCTCAACCTTTTTGGCTGCCCTTCCCTAGTCCTGCTCCCAGCTTTTCCCTCATGACATGTGGGTCAAAAGATTTTCCATCTGTGGAAAACAAGAAAAAAACCCAGGCCAAAAATCCAACCTCAAGTCCCAGATTTGATGGCTGAGAGTCTCTTGCCGTCATGGGACTCCGGGACCTCAGGGCATCAGCCATAGGAAGCGTGAAACGAGGTTTAACCCTCTCCCCATCTCATTCCCGGTGCCAGCACACTGGTCCACTCAGGGGTGGGCATGGGAAGGGAGCAGACACCCGCTCACCCCAGCTTGCCCCATTCCTGCGGAGTTTTATCGCTTGGATTTCCTCCCCGGGGTTTCGTGGCTGCTGCCCGCGCCACCGCGGCGCCTTGGGGGTGGGAAGAAAAGGTGCCCATGACAAAAGCCTTCCTCGCTTGGCCGCCCTGGGGGTGGCAGCCAACCCCCGCACTGGAGCCCGGCCACGGCAGGAGGGTTTTGTCCCTCACTCCAGAGCCGCGGGGCTGCATTCAAATTACCCGTCCGGAGTGGAGAGAGCCCCTGGCTTGGCCCTGGCACCGCCGGCCGGGCCCCGGGCGATCGAGCTTGGGCTGCCCTGCTGAGCTCCTGCTGGGAACGGGAGGTCTGTGGTCTGCATGTGATGGTCGATGTTCAGGGTGCGTGGTTCCAGGGGCTGTACATCCATGGTGGGTGGTTCCAAGGGCTGTATGTCCATGGTGGGTGGTGCCAGGGGCTGTATGTCCATGGTGGGTGGTGCCAGAGACTGGACACTGATGGTGTGTCATGCCATGGGCTGTATGTCCATGGTGGGTGGTGCCAGGGGCTGTACATCCATGGTGGGTGTTACCAGAGACTGGACACTGATGATGTGTCATGCCAGGGGCTGTATGTCCATAGTGGGTGGTGCCAAGGGCCGTGCATCCATGATGTGGAGTGCCAGAGGCTGTAAGACCATGGAGCTTCTGCTAGGTGCTGTGCATGCACAGTGCTTGGTGTCAGGGGCTGTATGTTCATGGTGTGTGTTTCCAGGGGCTTTATGTCCATGGTAGGTGGTGCCAGGGACTGGATATCCTTAGTGTGTGGTGCCAGGGTACGCACATTCATCTCTATGTGGTACCAGGGGCTGTACATCCATGATGGGTGATGCCAGGGGCTGTATTTACATGGTGGGTGGTGCCAGGGGCTGTATGTCCCCAGTGTGTAGTTCCATGGGCTGTATGTCCACGGTGGATGGTGCCAGGGGCTGTATGTCTATGATGGTTGGTGCCAGGGTCTGTATGTCCATGGTGTGTAGTTCCATGGGCTGTATGTCCATGGTGGATGGTGCCAGGGGCTGTATGTCTATGATGGTTGGTGCCAGGGGCTGTATGTCCATGGTGTGTAGTTCCATGGGCTGTATGTCCATGATGGTTGGTGCCAGGGGCTGTATGTCCATGGTGTGTAGTTCCATGGGCTGTATGTCCATGGTGGGTGGTGCCTGGACATCCTTGGTGCTGGGGTGTGAGTACACAGTACTCAGTGTTGGGGGCTATACTCACACCCTCTCCCCAGAGCACAGTTTGCAGAGGGATGCAGATGACCAGGACAGCCTCCCATCAGGCAGGCCCTGGCAAGCCAGCAATCTGCCATGGAGCTGCCTAAGCCACTACTGTGGCTGCCGAGATCAATGCAGTACAAAGAGCTCATAAATCACAAAGCTGCTCCGAGGCTCAGGGTGCTCCGTTCCCAGGGAACGGTATGATGCAATCCTGGCATGGGGGGCTGAGGAACTCCCAACCCCCTGAGGTGCCTCTGCAGAGGGGTGAAGGGGTATCAGGAGTCGTGAATCACGCAGAGCAATCTCCCCACATCCCCAGCATCACCCTCCCCTCTGGAGGGCTGCAAGAGGCCGTGGGCAGCTGGAGCCCCTCCGTGACATCCCCTGAGCTGCTCCCTGGGGAGGGCTGGGGGCCTGGTGATGGCAGTGCTGGCCACTGGGCCGTCCTTTCAGCGCTGCTTCCCCAGCCCTCCGGTGAGAGCCCTTTGTGCCAGGCAGCCTGAGAGAGGCCTGGGACATAATGGCTGCTTTGGTCAGCCCCGCTGTTCCCAGCCCGCGCGCAGGGAGCCTCCGGCGTGAGCTGAATGGCAAAGAAGCCGCCCCGCTCCTTCCCTCCCCCTCTGCCCTGTGCTTTGTGTGCTGTCCCCCCTTTCCTCCCCCACCTCCAGCAGCTCGCTGACCTCAGCCCCCTCCACAAACACTCCCTCCTCAGCACACGCGTGCGTGAGCGCACGCACACGCGTGTGCACACCTGCACGTGTGGGCTCTGCGACACGCGTGGAGAGGCACAAGCACCTGCGTGTGCCCCTCTTGCTCACTCACCTCCCTCGCTGCCTCTTTCCTGCTCAGTGCCCGCTGTCAGAACCCTACCTGAGGTTTCTCGGTGTCACCTCCCTGCCCTCTGTGACCAGCGTTTGGGCTCACACCTTCCGTGCTGTCCGTGCCAGGCTGGGCTCTGCTGTCCTCAGAGGACCCGGCTCCCAGGGAAGGCTGGTGGGGCTGGATGGCACCCAGTGGCTCCCAGCCAGTGGTCCTGGGAGCTCACGCTGCCTCCTTCCTCCTCTTAACCGAGGCACATTTCCTTCTCTTCCCTCTCCTCTCCACTGTCCATGGGTCCAGGTCATACCCTACGGCCGTGCCAGTGCCGGTCTCTCCCTCTGTGCCCTGACACCCCACCCATGCACAGATGGGCTGGGGGCTCTCCCTGACCTCTCCCACTCATGCAGGGATGGGATATTTCTGATGATTTTTTGGATTCTAAGCACAGCTGGTGGCTTTTGCTCCCCCCTCACAGGGCAGAGCATGGCCCCAGCCCTCCCACTGCTGCTGCTCTGGGTGTTTGCCCCCTCGGTGGTCCCGCAGGTGTTTGGCCCCGGAGATGGCACAGGTAACTCGGCATCATCGGCCGTGTCTGCGTCACTCCCTGCCCCCTCTGTGCCCCACAGTGGGGGCTTCAGGGGGGCCCCCACCCTCGTCCTGCTCATGGCTCCTCTCTTCTCCCACCCAGAGGACCTCAAGGCTCTGCAGGTCTCCATCCCACGCCACCCAGCCCTCGACCCCGTGCTGGCAGGCGACATCACCATCCCCTGCCTCATCACCTACCTTGGCCCCCAGCCCACTGCTGGCACGGGCGGCCGCCGGGCTGTGCTGGGAACCCCCCGGGTCAAGTGGACCTTCATCTCTGAGGGCAGGGAGGTGGAGATCCTGGTAGCTCGGGGGGACAGGGTGAAGGTGAGCGAGGACTATCGGCTGCGCGCCTCCCTGCCCATCTTCCACCAGCGCTACACCAACGCCTCCCTCCTGCTCACCGAGCTGCGGCCCAACGACTCGGGCATCTACCGCTGCGACGTGCAGCACGGCATCGAGGACGGCCACGACATCCTGCATGTCAAAGTCAAAGGTACTCCAAGGTGGGGAGAGGAGGGGTTTGGGGCGGGTTGGGGCCCTCTCCTGGCTCGGCAAACGCCCCCCCCCCTCAGCACGGGTGGGGGCTGCCCTGAAGCCCCTGGCCCACGCCCTTGTGCTCCCTCAGGGGTGGTGTTTCACTACCGGGAGGGCTCCATGCGTTACGCCTACACCTTCGCCGAGGCGCAGGAAGCCTGTGCCCGGATTGGTGCCAGCATTGCCACCCCCGAGCAGCTCTACGCTGCCTACCTGGGTGGCTACGAGCAGTGTGACGCCGGCTGGATCGCCGACCAGACCGTCAGGTGGGCACCGCAGCCACCCAGGGGCATTGCCCCTGCTGCCTCCCCCATCACCCCTCTGGGAATCACCAACCCGTCCCTGTGCTCTCCTGCCCCAGGTACCCCATCCAGACACCCCGCGAGGCCTGTTATGGAGACATGAATGGCTTTCCCGGGGTCAGGAACTACGGGGTGGTGGACCCAGAGGACATGTACGACGTGTACTGCTACGCTGAGGACCTCCCAGGTGCCTGCCGTGCCACCAGCCCCCTCTTGCCCTCCCCTGCTTTTGCTCCCGCACTAACTCGCCCCTGTAACCAGTTGTGAACCCAAGGAAAAAGCTGCCTTGAACTTCAGGCTCTGGTTCCAGGGCGTGGGGACTTGCTGTGCTGCTTCCCAAAGCATCCTGGTTCGGTTTGGCAGGATGGGGGGGTTCTGCCCCTGGGCAGGCACTGCCCAGGCTGGAGTGTGCCCACGGTGAGCTGCCCTGGTTTGGCAGCAGAGCGTGGGGAACATTGCCAGGTGGTTTGGGGTTGGCTGTGCTTGTACCATGCTTTGCATGTGCTGCTGATCCCACCATGGGGGTGGCTGGTCCCTCCTTTGGGCCCTGATGGGGATCCCCACTGGTGGCAGCAGCTGTTGTGGGGTCGGTGTGGGTGATGCCAGGTAGGGTGGCAGGGACAAGGGACAAGTTGCTTGTGTGGAGGACACAATGTGATGGGACAGGGAGATCAGTGTGGTCATGGGGGTTGGCAAGTGGTGTGCCCAGAACGCCTCAGTGTGAAGCCACACCACAGCAGGCTTCACACACTGGGCTTGCAGGTCCACTTGAGAGATGTCCTGCTTGTGGATTGTGCTGTGCAGGCTGCAGACTTGCTTCCCGTGGGGTCCCACTCGTGGTTCAGGGATGCTTCCAGGTTTCAGCTCCGTTTGCAAGGGCAGGAATCCCGTGTGGCTCGGGAGCTCCGGCCACGCCTGCACTGTGGGTGCCACGTGCGTGTGCAGGGAAACAGGAGGCAGGGATGCAGGCAGGGATGCAGGCAGGGATGCAGGCAGGCTCCTCCAGCCCCTGGTGTGCCTCCACACGCCGGAGCCCCCACCTCCACGCCAGCTCCTGGGGTTGTGCGGAGAGTGGAGGAGGCGAGGGGGCTCCTGCAGCCCCTGCCCTCCTGCCCAGCTCTGACACCGAGTCTCCTTCCTCTCTTCGCAGGGGAGATCTTTTTGGAGACGGCCCCAGCCAGGTTCACGCTGGAGGAGGCGGCGGAGCGCTGCCGGGCGCTGGGCGCGGAGCTGGCGAGCCCGGGGCAGCTCTACGCGGCCTGGAACGCGGGGCTGGACGCCTGCAGCCCCGGCTGGCTGGCCGACGGCAGCGTCCGCTACCCCATCGTCACCCCCCGGGAGCGCTGCGGCGGAGCCCTGCCGGGTGTCAAAACCATCTTCCTCTTCCGCAACCAGACGGGATTCCCCGATGCCCAGAGTAGATACGATGCGTACTGCTTCCGAGGTAAAGAGGGGCACTACACTCCCCCACACCCCCGGCCTGCGGGTGCTCCTGGGCAGGGACCAGCGGGAGGCCCTTGGGAAGCCTCCGGCAGGGCTTTCAGGTGCCCGGCGGGGGCGAGGTGCCACCCCCAGGCCACCCGAGCGCGCTGCGTGCGGCGGAGACGGGCTGTCCTGCGGGGCTGGGATCGCCTCAGAATCCCCGCGTGTTGTTCTTTGGTGCCGCGTGCTGCGCTGTCGCGATAGGGCAGGCAGGGGTGCCTTGTGCCGTCCCGACTCACAGCGGTAGGATAGGGATGTCTCGCATGGTCTCCGTACTGCATGTCGCGACAGGGGAGGGATAACCTGCATGGTCCTGATACTGCATGCTGATAGCTCTCGGTAGAAGAGGGGTGCTCTGCATGGTCTCGGCAGTGCATGCTGATGTGTCACGACAGAGCAGGGATGCCCTGCATGTCCTCTATATCGCGATGGAACAGGGATGTCCTGCGCGGCACCGTCGGTCTGTGTGAGCTCTGTGAGCACAGCTGCTGGCCTGGGGGGGCACTGCTGCGTTCTGGGGGCTGTGGAAAGCAGCCTACCAGGCTGGTTTGGGGCAATACCTCCCACCGTGGGCAGGGAGGACACCTCTGGGTAGCAGCGCGACGTTTCCTGGGCTGCGGGGGAGCCCTGCAGGTGATGAGCTGTAGGGACAATGGGCATGGAAGAGCTGCCCCTTCACTCCTCCTGCCCGGTCCCACCTCTCCGTGCATCCCCTCGGGGCCGTGAGGGCTCACAGGATGGGGACGCTGTCCCCGGATCAGCTGAATGCCACACATCCCCGTGCCTCAGTGTCCTCAGCAGGGTCAGGCAGGCTGGGTTAGGCAGGATGGACCCATCCCATGAATCCAAGCCCCCCGTAACACACTAACTCCCCATGCATGTCTGCTCTCCCGGGGTGGGGATGGGAGTGTGGAGAAGGAGCCTCCCCGAGAGGGGAATGCAGGGTTAAGGATCTGGCCCCCCTTATGTGCTGCCAAGCCCCACAGCTTCCACTAGGGCTGTTGGCTCTGCCGGCTCCCACAGCAACTGGGAGGGCCTGATCCTGCCCCATGCTGACCCTCTTTAGGTGGGGAAGGGGAGGTCAGTGAGAGCTGGGTCCCTGCTGGGGTACCAGGACTCCAGCCCCACTGTGGGGCAAAGGACATCTCTGCCTGCCATGGGGCCAGGACAGGGCAGTAATATCCCACTTTCTTTCTGCCCACAGAAGGGACAAACTCTTTCCCTGAGGCTGCAGGAAAATACCAAGCCCAAGAGCCCGAGGAGAATCTCCTCCAGGAGATTGTCACAGTGGCAGAAAAGCTGGAGGAGCTGCAGCTGCCCAGAGCACCAGTGGAGCTTGAGTCGCGAGGGGCTATTTACGCCGTCCCTTTCTTTGAGGACACTGAGCTGGAAAAGCCGAGCCCGCCCCCCGAAGACACACCAGGGCCAGGGGCCCGGCACCCCCCACTAGATACCTCCGTGTCCTCAGGTCACCCCACCCCTGCTTCCCCTTTCCCCACGGCCCCAGCCGTCCCCAAGGCAGGTGTCCCACTTAGCTGTGCTGCAAAGCTGGGGAGCCCCTGCCCTGTGGAGGAGGACGGGGGGACAGGGACAGTGGGGCAGCCACCGTGGCCAGGCACGGACTGTCCCACACAGGTTGAGCAGCTGCTGTGGCCGTGCCAGGGCTGGGACGCAGAGATGAACCGCAGGCACAGAGGCACCGGGATTGCAAGGAGAGGTTGGAGGCACCTGTGGGTGCCCAGGTCACCCCTGCTGTCCCTGTCCCTCCCGCAGAGGGAGCCCCTGTGGCTGCTGCACTGGTGTCTTGGTGTAGGGCTGTGCGTGGGGACATCCGCTGTGTCCCTCCCTCGGCCAGAGTCCAGAGTGCAGCGTCGGTGCTGGACCGTAGCTCAGCAGAGCAAGGAGTTGGACAGGGGCGCTGGCAGCTGGAGGGAAAGGAGGCCAGGCACAGCGTGAGGGGCTGAGCATGGCCCCTGCCACAGGGAACCCAGGGCTGGGCTTGGCAGTGGCCAAGCCAGAGCTGTCAGCCGTGTCGGTTCAGAGGAGACAGTGTCACAGGGGCTCGGGGCCACTTCCATCTCCCCGTGCACCTTTGTGCTGGCGTCGCCCCCCCTCCCACGGCTCTGCCCACCGGGGGAGGATTGGCAGCGCTGGTGGGAGATGCCGGAGCCCGCGACCCCTTGGTCTGGCGCCGGCGTCTCACTGTCTTTCTGCCTTGCCCTTTGCAGAGGAAGAACAGGGAGCAGCGCCGGGCAGGGGCCCTGGCAGCACATCGGCCGAGAGCCCGGGCGGAGGGCGAGACCCCAGCCTGGAGCCGGACGGAGCCCCCGGCACAGAGACACTCTCCATGGCCCCGCGGCTGGGCGCAGAGGGACCCACCGATGCCCCAGCAGGTGACACGGAGCCTCCCGAGGGCTTTCCTCGGCCGCCCAGCCCTGCCGCCCCCACACACCGCCCCGGCCGCCCGAGAGACTCCATGGGGCGGCCGGCCCACACTGCCAGCCCCGGGGCACCTGGGCACCGCGTGCCATGGCCAACCAGTGCCGCTTCTGCCACCTCGACAGAGCGCCGAGAGCCTGGTGGGACCTCGCGGCGAGGCCACAAGCCCGGCGGGACGAGCAGCTCCGTCCCCGCCGCTGAAGACGCCGAGCTCTCCGGAGACGTGGTCGAAAGCCCCGGGGCTTCCCCGCTGCCCGCTGCGCCCTCGCAGCCGCAGGAGGAGGGAGAGGAGCTGTCGGGGGCCCCGTGGTTCCCCTCACCCGCGGCCCCAGGGGACGGGAGCACCGTCCCCGCAGCGGAGGCGACGGCGGTGCCTGGAGGCAGCCGCGCACCAGCCCTGGAAGGAGAGGAGGCTGTGCCGCGACCCCCGGGCGCTGACCGCGGGATGCCTGCAGCACCTTCCGAGGAGGAGGAGGAGGAGGAGGAAGAGCAACCTGCTCCCTCCGTTGCAACCGTGGAGGGTTTCCTTGCAGCCGTTCCTGGAGAACCAGGTGGGACCCGCAGGGATGGCCTCACCTCTCCCCGTACCGGCAGCTCTGGGGTGACCCTGACGGGGACCCCGTTGGGGGACCCGGCCCCCAGCACGGCTGTGCCCCTGCCCGCCCTCCCCACGGAGCGGGCCAGCGTCGGGGCAGGCGCCAGCTCGACCGGGGGTCCCCGCCGTGCCACTCTCGCCCTCGGGGCAGCCCTCTTGGCTGCTCTTTGGCAATAGAGAAAGCCGACACCTTTCCTTCATGCTGTGCTTCCCTCTGTCTGTCCGTCCGTCTGTCTCTCCTCTCTCTCTCTCTCTCCTCCTCAGCTGGGTAAGGGAAGGTTACAGGTCCGGAGAAGCACATATTTGTCAAACAAATTGGTCCGAGCTCTGCATGCACTTAAAATCTCTTCTACTTCTGTGAAGTGTTTTAATGACTGTTTCCATGAAAAAGCCCAATAAGCAAAAGGCGGCCCCAGCCCCTGCTCTGACTAACCGTGGTACTAATAAAGGGAATTAAAAGCTTTCTAGAACAAGCATCTCGGCGAGCTCTTCCCTTCGTCCTTGCGCCTGCTGCACACGCGCCCCTCCCACTGACGAACTAATCCCCCACCCTCTGGCCCCGGGAGTCCCTGGGAGTGGGGTGGATGGGACCCCTTCTCCCCCCCGTGAGGTCTGGGTGGGTATGGCTGCTTTGCACGCTCCATGTGGCCCCCCCCTCCCGGGGCTGGGTCACTCCCCAGGAGGAGGGGCAAGGGTTGCATGGCATGAGCAGAGGGAAATGAGGGCACCAATGGGTCGTGGGGTGCAGAGACCCACCAAGAGAACCCTGCTTTGTGCAGCCTTTGGTGGCCAAGCACCCTAGAATTGCTGCAGTCCCCCCAGGGAGCAGTTTCCCCGTCACCCCAGTCCTGGTCCCCCAACAGGAGGGCTGAGATGGGTGAGTGGTGGGTGCATGAACTGCTGCAGGTGGGTGTCACCCACCCAGACCCACCCTCTGTCCCCTTCCCCCCCCCTCCAAGGATGCTCCCAGCTCCAGTTCAGTGTACAGCAGCCAAGACCCTACCCCCTGCTCCCTGCAAGGGTAGCTGCAGCAGAGGGGACCATGTGAGGTCCCTTCCCCCCCTTCTCTGGCAGTGCCCTGCCTGGTCCCATGCCATGAGGGAGGCTCTGTGGAGGGTGGCCAGACCTTGTGGGGTGATTACCCTTGCCCTGGCAAGGACAGATGCCCAGGAAGAGCCGCCCATGTGATGTTAGGACCCTAAATCGCCCATCCCTCTCCATTCCTTGGTCTGCTGGGGAAGAGCTGGACGTCCTGGGTGATCTACTGTCACCTTGTGTGGCGGTGATGGTGCCTGGGGGCGGGTGAGGGTGACAACATCACCCTCCTCACGTCTTCACCGCGCCAAGGACCATGAAATGGGGCATCATTAGGATGAAGGGGATCAAGGACTTCCAGTCCTCGCTGCACTGGCGCTGGCAGCAGCCCTTCATCACACCCTGAGCTGGGCTGGGAGCACACAGCGTGCTCCGGGCGCATTAATGACCATAACGGGCTGCTGGGGACACTCTGGCTGAGTTATCAGCCCTGGTCAGGCTGAAGGTGACACCAGAGGGACAGGCGTATGGCTCATCTTGCTGGCCAGGCTGAGGGTGTGAGGCCAGGACTGCTGAAGGGTTTATCCTTTGCGTGGTCCCCTCCCAAAATACAACTGCTGCATCACCCCAGGGGAAAGCGGGAGCTGTGCCCGGGCAGCAGGAGTGGGCCAGGGGCTGGCACGGCAGCCAGACCACTGATCTGGAGGATGAGAGCATCCAGCTCATGTCCCTGTGCCCTGAGGGGAGGCCAAAGCCCCAGGTCTGGCCAGCTCTGGGCTGGGGCAGCTGAGCTGGGTCCATCCCATGGACAAAGGGCAGCGTGGGACAGCTCAGGGGACATCACAACGCACCTGAGTCCTTCACCTGCCCCACACTTGGTGGCCTCAGGGGTCAGCTCAGAGACCTGGTGGCTGTGGGACACTGCAGGGACGAGGCTCTGGCCATGCTGGGCACTGACAAGGTCCCCGAGCCCCTGCAGTGAGGACGGCTGCATGTGCCTTGCAGGTGGCTGTGTCCCCAACCCCTGCCTGAACGGAGGGACCTGCACAGAGGACGACACCCACCTCACCTGCCTGTGCCTGCCCGGCTACGGAGGCAGCAGCTGTGAAAGACGTGAGTCCCCCAGGGCCCATCATGGGCCACCCTGTCCAGGTCCTGCTGCCATCCCAGCTGCTGAACCGGTGGCTCAGGAGACATAAAAGTAGGGAGATCAGGAGTCCAGGGTGAGTTGGGATCCATCACCCTGACCCTCTGCTCTCTCCCTCCTTCCTCCCCGCCGGGGCTCAGCGCTGAGGAGGTGCAGCCCTGGCTGGGACAGCTTCCAGGGAGCCTGTTACAAACACTTCTCCACCCGGCGGAGCTGGGAGGATGCAGAGACCCAGTGCAGACATTACGGGGGACACCTGGCCACCATCCTGACCCCTGAAGAGCAGGACTTCATTAATGGTACGTGATGTCACCCCAGACCCTGCTGCACCCCCCTGGACCGCTGGTCCACGACCCTCAGTGCTGGGGTGCAAGTTTGGAACCTTAAGATGAAAAAGCAACCAAAAGCTGAGGCAGAGCCTGGCCCTTCAGAGCTGATGGGTGGATGGATGGACAGGTAGATAGGTACACAGATAGACATGGGAGCAGGCTGGCTCAGTCTTGGGCCCCTCATGACGAGAAATGCATTGAGGGGCTGCTGTGGGACCACAGAAGGGGAACAGAGCTGGGGAAGGGTCTGGAGCACCAGGAGCAGCTGAGGGAGCTGGGGGGAACTCAACCTGGAGTAAAGAAGGTTCAAGGGAGGACTTCTCACTCTCTCCAACTCCCTGACAGGAGGCGGGAGCTGGGTTGGGGTTGGGCTCTTCTCCCAGGGAACAACAGGACAAGAGGAAATGGCCTCAATTGTGCCAGGAGAGGTTTAGGTTGGATATTGGGAAACCTTCTTCATGGAAGGGTGGTCAGGCACTGGCACAGGCTGCCCAGCCCTGGAGGGATTTAACAGACATGTGGATATGGCACCTGGGGACATGGGTTGGTGGTGGCCTTGGAAGTGCTGGGGAATGGTCAGACTTGGTGGTCTTGGAGAGCTTTTCCAACCTAAACAATTCCATGATCCAGTGACAAGTGGACAGACTGGCAGAGGGTTGGACAAGTGCAAGTAAATTTGAAGGCAAAGCAATAATCTGACTGAAAGCAGCTGTGGAGGGACAGGGGGGAAAGGCAGGGGGAGGCAGATCAGGGACAAGAGTGGTGGGGATGGGACAGAGAGCAAGGAGGCCTGGAGGGACTTGAGAGTGAAGGAGGAGAGGGACAGGGAGAGAACTCAAAGGGAGCTGCAGGGACAGGTGGGGACAGGTATGGACAGGAAAGGAACTGGCAGGGCCAGGCAGGGACTGGTCAGACCAGAAAAGGGACTGGTAGAGCCAGGTGGGGACCTGCAGGGACAGGCAAGGGCAGGCAGAGAGCTGCAGGGACAGGCAGCGACAGGCAGAGCCAGGTGGGGACCTGCAGGGCCGGGTGGGGACAAGCAGGGACCTGCAAGGACAGGTGGGGACCTGCAGGAACAGAAAGGGACCGGCAGGGACAGGCCGGTACCGGCAGGGATATGTGGGGACAGGCAGGGACATGTGGGGACAGGCAGGGATCGGCGGGGTCCCGGGGCAATGCCGCCCTCTCCCGGCCAGCCCAGTCCCTCCGCTCCGGGGTGCGGGCAGGGCAGGGTCCCGCTGTGTCCCTTTCGGGGCTCCCCTTGTCCCCAAATCTCCCATCGCCCTCCCGCTGCAGGGTGAGGGACACCTCTGTTTCCCCGCACTCATCCCCAGACCCCAAATCTCCCCCGAATTCAGCCTCCAGCACCCTTCAGCCCCCTCCTGCCAGGTGGTGCTGGGCTGCCTGGGTGTGTTCCCGTCTCCAACACAGCCCCTACCCCCTAGACCAGTACAGGGAGTACCAATGGATCGGCTTGAACGACCGGACCATCGAGGGGGATTTCCAGTGGTCTGATGGGAGCCCCTTGGTAAGTCGGGCTGGGTAAGCTCTTGTGTGCCCTCACCCTGCCTGGCACCTTGTCACCCTTCTCCAGCACTGGGGTCCAACCCTGGGGCCAGGATTTGAAGCCCCTCAGCAAGGATGAGCATCCTCAGGGGAGCCAGACCCCGGGATTTGGGGTGCCGAGGCCATGCCAAGGGGCGTGGAGGTGGCACCTCGTTCCTGATGGGGATGTCACAGCCAGGAGGCTGCAGACGGGTGTGTGCTGGTGCAGGCACCCCACACACACTTAGAGGGTGCACTGGGGTGCCCCGTGCACCCTGCCATGCCTGTCCCCCCCAGCTCTATGAGAACTGGCACCCCGGGCAGCCCGACAGCTACTTCCTTTCTGGCGAGAACTGCGTGGTCATCGTGTGGCACGACGGGGGACAGTGGAGCGACGTGCCCTGCAACTACCACCTCTCCTACACCTGCAAAATGGGGCTGGGTAAGCCATGCCTCCCCCCCACCCTCGGGCTGGGGCTCTGCAACCCCCAAAGAGGGAGTTTCCCCACCCTCCCCACAGCAGGGAAACGGATCCTGCGCATGGGCCAGTTCAGGGTTTATGTGGCAGTGTTTTTGCTCCAGGCTGAGGTTCTGGAGGGGGGTCAATCCATGCTGTCTGCAATGACCCCCACCCCCTTTGCAGTGCAGTGTGGGCCCCCCGCCCTCACCAACGCCCGCGCCTTTGGCAAACCAAAGCAGCGCTACGAGATCGGCTCCATCGCGCGGTACCAGTGCCGGCACGGCCTCGTCCCGCGCCACTCGCCCGTCATCCGCTGCAGGGAGGACGGCACGTGGGAGCCCCCCCAGCTGGCCTGTCGCCCCGGTGAGAACCAGGACCCCCACCCTGAGTTCTCCAAGCACCTGCCAACCCGGCTTTCCCTTCACCTGGGCCTTCTTGTATCCCCCCACCCCAGGTCTGGCTCAGCCCCGTGAGAACTGAATGAGTCCGTGGGGCAGCAGCCACCGCCTGCCCAGGCCCTGGAGCTCGCGTGGATGGGGACAGCACTGGGACCCTAGTGTGGGATGAAACCTCACTGCTGGGTGTCTGCCTCCTTGTTTGTTTTATATCTGTACAAAGAAATCCCAATAACTCAAGACCCCCCTCGAAAGGAACCGACAGGGACCTGAAATGCGGCACAACGGGAGTTTCGTTCCCGGAGTCACAACAGAGTGGAAATCAAGGGGGACACCATGGGCAGGGGATGGTAGTGACGTGCCAGTGTCACCTTCAGCCGCTTTCTCCCACCTCTGCCCCAAGGGTTCTCATCCTGTGACACCCTGGTGGGGCGTGACATGGGGACATCCAAGCTCTGCTGCAGCTCAGCACCGTCCTGGGGTGTGGGGGTGCTTCTGCACTTCCCAGGAAAGGCAGAAGTCACTGCTGCAGGCTTGGAGTTGTGTACGTGTTGCCCAAACTCCCTCTCTGTGCTCCTGTGGGTATTAAAACCAGTAAATGGATGGTGCAGAGTGGTGGCCTGGTCATTTGGTGTGGGGGGTCCAGGCACAGGGGTGGGACAGGCAGGGCTGTACAGCCCCAAAATAGAGACCACGTCAGAGTCCTTCAGCAGACTGAGAGCCTGGGCACACAGATCAAAGTGCCCCCACATCCCAGTGACACTGGGCACTGGTCAGGGCTTGGATGGGGATGTTGCTACCAGCAAACACACGAGACAGGTATCAGGCCATGCCAACATCTCCCCACGCCGTTAATCCCCCTGCACTGTGCCAGTTCCACAGCTTTTTATAGCTCTCCTGGGCAGTATCAAACAGCAACACCCAGAAACCCCCCGAGCCCGGAACACAGATAACCCCCGGACAGGGCATCAGGGATGGAAAGTCCCTGTCAAAATTCCCCTGGTGGAGGGGCCAGATGGCCCCAGGGGAAGGAGCCAGGCGGGAGTGTGGCTTTGCTGTGCAGCTTTGCCGTTGCTTTATTAATTGAGAAGGCGACACGCCATTAGTCACGCTCGTTAATGCCCAGCCCAAGTCCTCTGTGCTCACACCAGGGAGAGTCCTCACAGCCGCGGGGAGTGAGGATGGGGTGAGGGATTCATGGGAGCTGGGGAATGGGGGGACTGGATTAGACCCCCCCTTCCTGGCCCATCAATGGGTCTGGCTTCTCCAGCAAGCCTTGAGCAGCCCACAAGCCCAGCAGCAGGCTGGGGTATGGGGAGTAGCTCTGTGAGAGCACGCTCTGAGCACCGAAATCCAGCTCTGTTTCTTCAACAGATGACACATGAACCACCCAAAATTGCTGTGGGACCCCTCATACTCCATCCCAAACTCTTCTGGGGCGACGAGAGCTGGTGTCCCCCTGCCACCCCCTCCGCCCAGCCCACCCACCCCTCCTCCCGGTGTCCCCTACTTCCCCACGAAGCAGTAGGTGCCGTAGGTCCTCATCTCCTTGTTGGGGAAGCCGAAGCTGCGGACGCCAGGGTCGGGCAGCCCCCCGCAGTGCTGGCGGGGCATGGTGATGGGGTACCTCACGCTGCCGTCCGCCAGCCACCCCCCGTCGCAGCGATCCAGCTGGGAGAACTTCCAGGCCGAGTAGAGCTGCCCCACCTTGGCGATGGCGGCCCCGTGGTTGCGACACGCCTGCCCGGCCTCCTTGAAGTTCAGGTGGCCCCGGATGAAGTAGACCTGGCCTTGGGGATGGATGGGTGGATGGGTGGATGGATGGATGGATGGATGGATGGATGGATGGATGGATGGATGGGGACACTGCGGGTGAGCAGCCACCAACACGATGCCCCGGGAACAACCCCCCAGACCTGGCACAAATTTTGGGGGGGTATCATCAGGGCTCTGTGGGAGGGACAGGGGACCCCAGCGCTACCTTGAAGAGCAGAGGTAAAGCAGAAAGCATCAAAGCGATCCTTCTGCTTGTCCTTGGCCCCGTAGGTCCGGACACCGGGTAGGAGGAGGCGGCCACCGCAAGGCTCCCGCGAGTTGATGATGGGGTAGTGGACTGTCCCCTCAAGGATCCAGCCAGCATTGCACCAGTCCAGACCTTCTGTCCAGGCTGTGGGGCAAGAGGTAGCTCAGCACCAGCACTTCCCTCCCCCCTGCCCAGCCAGGCGCGCTTTTGGGCGGAAGAGGGGTCTTTTTTCTGAGTGCTTCACCTTTGTACAGCTGCTGGTAGGTGGCGAGGCGCGAGTCCTGCTGCTCACAGGCTCGCTTGGCTTCATGGTAGTTGAATTTGTAGCGCCCATTGCTGGGTTGGTAAGGGAATACGACACCTGGAGGGGCAGGGACAGGGTGAGGGAGATACTCTCCCTGAGGGGGCTTTGACTTATCATCCCCAGAGATTCAGTGCTGAAGGTGAGGCTGAGGCAGTACAACAAGGGGTGGAGGCAGCCAGGCACAGACAGGAGTTACAGCAGACAGGAGTTACAGAATGTTCTGAGTTGGAAGGGACCCACAGGGATCATCGAGTCCAACTCTTAAGTGAATTGGCCCATACAGGGACTGAACCCGCAGACCTCCAGTCCAGCCCACAGTCCAGAGCAGTCTCCTGCTGCATCCCTGGGGTGGGGGAGCCCAGCCTCACCTTCGAGGTGCAGTGTGAGCGAGACGCTCTCATCTTCCAGCCCATTGACCAGCTGGCAGCGGTAGCGCCCCTCATCCTCCAGAGCCACATCGGTGATGGTGAGCGAGGCGTCGTAGCGGTGGCTGTGCCGCAGCCGCACCCGCGGGCTCAGCGGCCCGTAGTTCTTGTGGTACAGCCCGTTGGTGATGATGATGATGCTCTCCCGGTAGTTGGCTGGCTCCACCTTGCTCCACTTCACGCGGTAGTTGCGGGGTAGGGCGCGCAGGACGCAGGGCAGGGTGGCCGTGGCCCCGCGCTGAGTGTGCACCGTGGAGTGGAGGGGCTCCAGCAGGTACTGCAGGCGCGGGGGGGCTGTGGCACCCCCAGGCAGCCTCAGCACAGGGTCACCAGGGAGCGTTGCTGAGGCCCCACCGCCCCTTCAGCCCGAGCACCCCTCAACCCTCAGGGGCATTTGGTGGTTTCTCTCCTGGTTCCTTGTCCCTCTCCTGCATCCTCTGGCAGCCCAGTTCAGCCCCTGCCCCAGCTAGACACCTCCCAGCATCGTCTCTATCCTCCAGCACTGATCCCAAAGAGCATTGCCCCTCGGGTCAATGGGTTCCTCCATCCTCCTCCCAGGCCCTGCTCCCTACCTGGACTCCCAGTCGGCCTCTGGAAGATGCTGGACACTCTGGGTGCTGTCAGGAGCCAGAAGCAGCCAAGCAGGAGCAGCCTGTGCATCCTTAGAGCTGGGGGCAGGACGGTGCCTGGGGGGAGTGCAGGGGTCAGGGACAGGCAGTGGGACATCCCCCAGCTTCGGTGGGGACCAGAGGAGGTCACCCCGCTCTGTGGCGAGCTCACTGATATTCACTGTGCAAAGGGGACATCGAGGCCACAGACTGTGCCCACCCTCCTTCCCAGCACCCCCTGCCCCATCTCTTACCGTCCCCAGGTGTGTCCTTTGGGGAGCCACTGTTCCCATGCAAGGCCCCCGGCCCATGTGCTGCCCCAGCTCCTGCTGCGTCCCGTCTTCTCCTTCATACACAGCCCACGGAGGGGCCGAGGGCTCTGGGAAGGTCCAACCTGCACAGAAAAGGTGGCACAGGGACAGGGGGATGTGGGAGGTGGTGAGTGGGTGCTCCCAGCCAGCCCCTGCCCTGTCACCGTGCTGGGACGGGCAGCGTCCTGGCAGCCCCGTGGCCCCGTGGGCTCTCACTGCCTGCTCCCATGGTGCCAGCCGTGCCCGCACTCCCTGCCCTGTCACCGGCTCTTCCCGCTTTCTTCTCCTTTTTTTTTTTTTTTTTTTTTTGCCTCTCCAACACCTCCCCGAGGAACGCACAGGGAGGAGGAAGCACAATTTCCCATTGTGAGTGTCTTTCTCTTTATTGTTCTGCTCTGCAAAACACAGCGTGCCCGGCTAACAAACATCCCTTTATCCACAGGCCACAGTGTTGGGAATTCAGGGAAAATACAGCTCTGCACCGGGCTCCAGCAGCTCCTGGGCCTGCAGAGCCTCTGCTCGGCATCGGCACCCCGTGCTGGGACAGTGCTCTGTGATCCCACACACATCAGGGCAGTGGTTAATTTTATACCCACCCCAGTCACCAGTGGGGGGGGGGGGGGGGAAGAAGTTCCGACCCCTTGGGGCTCCCACGGGCTGTGTAAAGGGGGGGTCCCCCACCACTCTTTCACCCCACTGGCCTTATGCTGCCTGTGAAAAGGCATCAGGGAGGTTTCCCTGTCACCACCCTGGGCCAGCACCAAAACACAGGCACACAATGGGACTGTGTTCTGGGCTCCACCATCTTCTCCCTCCCCCAGGGTCCATCTCCAAGGGTGGAGGGAGCTCTTCTCAGGGGAAACACAGGACAAGCAGTGACTGTCCCTGGCACCAAAGGACACAGTGATCCTGGCTTGGCTGCGGATCACACACGGCACAGCAAACAACCCTCCCAGGGAGAGGCACCAGGGAATGCACTGGGCCCTAGCCCTGCACATGCTCCCCGCTGCTCCCAGCCCCTCTTCAAGGAGGAGCACCAACTTTGATGCCAGCAGGCTGAATTGGAAGCCCCCGAGCTTCTCCCAGGTCAGAATGGTCAGAGTTTTGGCTCGCTTTGATCAGTAAAAGGTGGCCACAGCTTTGCTCCCCTGGGGCAGAGGAAGGCTAAACCACAGCAGCACTGGGAGCTCCTCCCCTGCAGCTCCCCACAGTTATCTGGTGGCTCCATGGCTCTTCAGAGAGCCCATGATCTCCCTCCATCACACTTCCCACGCCCACGGCTGCAGAAGCAGGTCCTGATCCGTCCCAGCAGCAGCCCAGGCTCCTTGGCTGGAGGATGCTGATTCCCAGATCTGCGGTACCACAGACGAGCTGAGTGTTTCTCACATCTTTCCCAAGTGAAGGCAAATAGCTACAGCCCTTGGCTCTCACAAAACCACAGCCCAAAGCAGGATACTTGTAGGGTCACTGCAAAAGTGACTCATCCCCCTTCCCCATCCCGTTGGCGTCAGGGCATGACCCCAGCTTGATGCTGCTTATCTGAGATCATAGTTTGGCCCAACTCTGTGGAAATGAGTTACTCAAGTCACTTCCCAAACTGTCTTTTACTTCTTGGCTCCTTCTCTCTTCCTCTCCCTTTTTGGGATCTGCACCCGCTCTCGGTGTATCACAAAGCCCTCTGCAAAAGTAGAAGCTGTCAAAGAAAATTGAAGCCATCAAAGAAAATTGAAGCCATCAAAGAAAACTGAAGGCAACCCCTGTGCTCAGCTCCCCCTGCTCCTATCAGCAGCCCCTGATTCATCTCCTTGCCCTTGTTTTTCAAGGGGTAGATTCTCCTCCTCCTTTCACAGGAAATCTCCTCTCCAAAGCCCCCCTGAACTATCATTTTCCCCTCTAAACAGGGAGTTTTACCCTGGCTTTGCTGAGCTCTGTCAAGCCCAGCACCTCCGCAGCAGATCAGTCCCTACCTCCTCTCCCTGACCCAGTCCCCCAAACCATAACGTTTCTCGAATGCTGAACATCCAGACCCCAGCACAGCTCCTGCCACCCCCTGTCCCAAGTCCAGCAGGGACACCGATACCACACGCCCCATGCACTTCCCGGCACAGTGGCCTGAGCCACCTGGCGTGGCAGAGCCGGGTGTGGAGCCGTGCCAGGGAAGCCAGCCCGGAGTTTCCGTGTTGGCAGCGCCGTCCCGCTCCCGGCAGCCTCTTCCAACCGTGGGAAGCGCGGGAGGCGAGGGCAGGACCTGGCAGCGGCTTTGGCAGGCGGAGTTTGCAGCCCAAGCGTGGCTCTCCTCGTGTCCCCCCATCCGCAGGGGTTTCCCCCTGCCCTGGCTGCCCCCCTGGACATGCCTGAGCACAGCGCTGCCTCAAGGCTTCGGCTCTCCGGGCTGTGCTTCTTCCTCCAAATCCTCAACATCCTCCTCTTCGCTGTCTTTGTCCGGTACAGCCCAGAGAGCAGCTCCAGCCTCTGTTCCCCGCAGCTGAACTGCAGCCGGAGAAACCAGGACTCGGCTTTCCAGCACCCCCGTGAGTACCCCCCGTGCCCGTGGATGCAGAGGGGCTCTGTAGTCCCCAGGTGCTGCTGAGGGGGTGGCACAGGATGTCACCACGCTCCGTCCAGGATGCAGATCCTGTCACAGCGTCCAGCTCTGGATTGGACTCCCGAGTTAATCAGAGGGGGAACATCACACCGCAGGGTTGGGGTACCGGTGCATCCCACCAAGGAGGGAGTAGAGGGCGGAAAGCAGATGTAGTGCAAAGATTTCCCACGTGCTTGGACAGAGCCATCCCCAAAATAGGGATATTTGGGTGCAGGACACGCGTTTCACCAGGTTGGAGTTTAGAGGGGTTCAGTGTGTGCAGTGACAAACCCAGGATCGTGCTCCCATCCCCTGTGGGGAGCACGGCAGCTGCTTCCTCGTGCCCCGGGGTCTGCAAAGCTTCCCATCCACCCGCTGGGTTTTGCAGTGCTGAGGGACTTGCACACAGAGGATTCGGCTCCCTTGGCGCTGCCACAGGGTCCAACACGGGGCTGGGGGTCTGCCCCGCGGGGAGCATCCTCCTGCACGCTGGGCACTGCGGGTCTGCCCCGCGGGGAGCATCCTCCTGCACGCTGGGCACTGCGGGTCTGCCCCGCGGGGAGCATCCTCCTGCACGCTGGGCACTGCTGTGGATCTCATCCCGGCTGAGGGATGAGGGGCTGACTGTGGCCTTCTGATGGGAGATGCGAGAGGAGCCTCCGGATGCCCTGGCTGAGGGAGGGGGTGGAGCTGAGCCGCTGGGCAGGGGCAGGTTCTCCCGGTTTCACCTGCCCACGTAGCCCCACCCAGGCAGTGACTCACGGGGAAGGACCGGATACAGCTGTCGGCACAAAGAGGTGCAAAGGGCGTTTAGCTCAAGCGAAATTAGTCCCTCCATCCTCTGGCTTGCCACCAGACTGGTCCCATTTTTCTGTTCATCCTTCCTCTGTCTTCATCCCATGAAGTGGGATGTGGTGCTTTTGGGGGCAGCAACGAGATCCTGGGAGGAAGGCTGACATCTCAGACCCACCTTCACGCTGGTGTAATGGGTGCAGACGGCTCTCAGCCACTGCAGGAGGTGTCTGGGCTGCTGGATGAACCCTGTGAGTGTCCTGAGATGTCTGGATGGCTGCAGACAGGGTGACAAGGAGCCACAGCAAGGGGTGACTTGGCTGCATCAGGCAGGGACAGCTTTACCTGTCACCAGCACAAGCCACAGCTGCTCCCACTCTCTGCTACAGATCTCCAAGGGAGATCCAGGGCCTGATCCACCACAGTTCCAGAGACACATCAGTGGAGTGAGGCTGGTTTATATGCACTGAAGCCTCTGCTACCCCAAACCTGTTAGAGCAGGGGGTGTCCTAGTCCTCTTGAGGACCAGCTCAACACCCCCAGACCCACCCTCTGCCCTCTCCTCCCCCAGGTTTTCGGGATGTCCACCTCCAAGTGCTCCTCGGCTTTGGGCTCCTGGTGGCCTTCCTCGGCCGCTATGGGCCAGGCAGTGTGGTCATCAGCATCCTCCTCGTGTCCTTTGCCATCCAGTGGGCCATACTGATCCAGGGGTTTTTGTACTTCTTCCTCAACGGCAAAATTTACGTGGGAGCCCGGAGGTAAGGCGGGAGGGAGCTGCTGCTGTCCAGACATGCTCAGCCCAGTCCAGCCCTGGCACACTGGCTCCCTCCTCTGTAAAACTCACAGCTCTGCTTTGCAGAAGGAGTTTGGTGACAAGGAGGACCAGGCCTCGGGGTGGTTTGAGTGCCACACTAGTCAGGGCCATGTAAGCACTGCCAAGGCTACAGCCAGGTATTTAGGGGGGTACACGGACCCTCTCCTGCCTCCAGCCCGGCTGTCCCTTTGTCACCAACACCGCGAGGCTCAGGCTGCCTGTTCAGCCTGCAGGGCTGGTGGGACGCAGGGTCTGGGCTGTGGGCTCTGCTCCTGTCCCCCCCATTCCTGCTGTCCCCAGCTCCTGTGCTCCTGCCCCAGCAGTGCCAGGTCCAGCCCCACACCTCCCCTCTTCTTCCCAGCGTGGTCAGTGCTGACTTCTGCACTGCAGCCGTTCTGATCTCCACCGGAGCTGTCCTGGGCAGGGTGAACCCTGTGCAGATGCTGCTGCTGGCCCTGCTGGAAGTCACCGTCTGCACCCTCAATGAATACATCCTGCTCAGCCTCATGGGGGTGAGTCACCAGCTGGGAGGGGGGCAGGCACCGCAAAAGGTGTGTCCATGGGTTTAGGTTCCTCATGTCTTGTCCTGATTCGTGTATAGAGATAAATCCCTTATCCCCAGTTCCTGCTCAGTGCTTCTCTGTACTCACCAGGTAAGCGACAGCGGGCGCTCCTTGACTGTCCACGTCTTCGGGGCTTACTTTGGCCTGATGGTTTCACGGGTCTTGCACCTACCCCCTACAGACAAGAGGAAGAGGGAGGACCAGCAGGACGTGGGGCACCAGCCGGATGTTTTTGCTGTGGTTGGTACGGAGCTCAAACCCTACAAAACCAGAGTCACGGGGTTGGTGGCGGAAGGGCCATCACCAACAACCAGGATAGTGAGGCTGTGGCTTTGACCAGGAGATTCCTGCAAACCACCCAGGACAGAGGTCCTTCCTCTCCCCAGGAACCTGTCCTGAGGCTGCACTGCCCTCTCCTAGAAGAAGCATTGCCTCATGTCCGACCTGAACCACCCTCGCTGTGGCCACTCAAAGCTCCTGGCACTAGCAAGAAGTTTCTTTCCCATAAGGGATCAACCCCACCTTCAAAACTTGCCTGTTTTCACTTTCCTGCAGGAACCATCTACCTGTGGACCTTCTGGCCCAGCTTTACCTCAGCCACCACTGCTGATGACAGTGCTGAGCCCTGGGCAGTGCTCAACACCTACTTCTCACTGGTGGCCAGTACCATCGCCACCGTCATCCTGTCTCCTGTCCTCTACGAGGAGAGCACCCCACGGATGGTAGGTCCTCTCCTGGGACAAACCCAAGTCTCACACTCTGCCCACGCCCTGTCCTACATGGGACAGTGAGTGTGAACACACTCAGGGTAAGAGGGGATGTCTGTTAGGCTTTCTGATGTTCCCTGGGGAAGACAACCTCCCCCAGCCCCGTGCTGGTGTCCTCCCCGGAGCCAGTTCCCCTGATTGTGTCCTGCTCCATCAGGTTCAGATCCAGGATGCCACCTTGGCTGGTGCTGCCGTGATGGGTATGGCTGGGGAGATGTTGGTCACCCCCTTTGGGGCCCTCATCGCGGGGTTTCTGGCCGGCCTGATCTGCCCACTTGGCTTCAGATTCTTCACGGTGAGTCACCTCAGGACAGCCAACGACACCGATCCCAGCTCAGGGGACCCTTGGGGGCAGCTGCATCACCAACCTGCAGCTCCCAAACCTGCAAACACGGAGCTGCAGCGCAGCCTCCCCAGGCAACCCGACCTCCTTCCCAACACCAGCTCTTCCCTGTGCTCTCCCCAGCCTGTCCTGCACTCCAGGATGAAGATCCAGGACACATGTGGGGTCCACAACGTCCATGGGCTACCGGGAATCCTGGGTGCCCTGCTGGGGGTGCTGCTGACACTGCTGGCCACTGCAGACACTTTCGGTGACAGGTGAGAAGAGCCAGAATCAGGGGTGCCGGTGACTTGATGCATCAAGCTGGGGCCACCGTGAGCCCAGAGCCCCGGGATGCTCCACACACCCTCTGTGACATTACCCCCTTAGGGGCACAAGCCAGGCAGAACAAGCTCCCCAAAAAGCTCTCCGGTTCTCAGGTTGGAGCTCGTGTTCCCTCTGGTGGCCCAGGGCAGCCGGTCGGCCGCTGACCAGGCGTTCTGGCAGCTCTGCGCCCTGCCCCTCACCCTGCTGCTCGCCACGCTCGGGGGCTGCCTCACGGGTGAGTTTTGCCTCTGGGGTGACGAGGTGGAGGGTTTGAGGGGCGGGAGAACTGGTGGTTTTAGGGGGGAGAGAAGGCAGGAGCAGTCCCAAAGCAGAGCGTCCCCATGGGACGTGCTCGGTGCTGAGCAAACCCGCCGGGGCCGGGGTTAGACTCGAGATCGGGCACCCTCCGTGGCCGAGGCTCCCCGCGGGTGCCGGGGGCTCCCACGGGGCCGTGGTCCCCTCGGGGTTGAGGCTCCCCAGAGGACCGTGCTCCCCCCGGGGTGGCGGCTATCCACGGCTTCCCTCGGTGCCATTCTGCCCTCAGGAACGTGGCTCCCCTCGGGGCTGGGACTCTCCCCGGGGCCGTGCTCCCCTCGGGGCCGTGTTCCCCCCGTGTCCGGGGCTCCCCCCGTGTCCGGGGCTCCCCGCCGCCCAGCCCGGCGCTGCCGCTAGATGTCAGGGGAAGCCCGGGCAGCGGCCGCCCCGCTCTCAGACGCCCTCGCCCGGCTTTCGGCATCCTCAGGAGCCGTCCTGAAAACCAAGGCGCTGAGATCTCCCCCGGACAAGGGAAACCTGGAAAGGACCATCCTCTGGGAGGTAAAGCTCGCTATTTTCTGGTTAAAAAAAAAAAAAAAAAAAAAAAAAAAAGATGGGGGGTTACAGGAGTCAGGCAGCCGATACCCTCCCTCCTCTTGCAGCAGCGTTTTGGGCAGAGCTGCAGTAAATGTCCCTGTCATGGAATCATAGAATTACTGCCTGGCTTTGGGTGGGAAAAGCTCTCTAAAACCATCGAGTCCAGCCATCCCCACAGCACTGCCAAGGCCATCACCAAACCATGTCCCCAGGTGCCACATCCACACCATTTTTCCAGGGATGATGACCCCACCAGTGCCCTGGGCAGCCTTTGCCAGGGATGCACAGCCCTTTCCATGAGGATTTTCCCCCAGTATCCAATCTGATTTCCTCCTGCCCCCATTCAACCCCGATCTACCCTGAGCAGGGCCCATTTCTGCCCCTCTCCACGTCTCTGTCTCGGTGCAGGTGGACAAGGAAGGATGTGACCCCAGGACAGGTGGGATGGAGCCGGGCATCAGCACCTTGGTGTAACGACCCCAAATCCCTAGTGAGGTCCTGCATCACCAGGATGAACCCTCTGCCATTGCCAGGTGACTTTTGGCTACCTGAACTTCCCAGCAACCTGCTCTGGAGACAACCACCTTATCCCCATGTGGGAGCCAGTTCCTGGTCCCAAATGTTTTGGGAGAAGCCAGGTGCCCACAGGCCTTTGCAGGGTGAAGAGATGCTGCAGTGATGCAGGTGTTTCTGTGGCAGCAATCCAGCTTTCTCCAGGGACACTTCAGGCTTGGCTCAGCCACCTTCCCTCTCTGCTCTGTGCCTCAGTTTCCCCATCTGCTGCTCTCTGAAGGGATGAATGCAATGGGGGTGGGTGCTGGTGTTGGAGAAGGGGCACAGGAGGCTGCACAGAAAGCAGCAAAGAGTTTCTACAGACATTTTTGCACACAACAATTAAAAACCTCAGATCTTTTGTAGCTTTGGGATTTGGCAGTGAATTCCCACAGCACCTTTGCTGGCTGTTTCCTTCAGGTGTGGTTCCAGGGAAGAAAGAAAAGCCCCCCAGCCCCCCATGCATCCCAAAGATTGTTGCCCATGATGTGGGTTTCATAGGTTGTCATAGCCACCCAATACAGTGCCTTGGAGGGTGGGACAGCCAGATCAGCCAGCACCCAGGGGCAGGAGCAGGGTGACACCGGGGTCCCCAACACAGAGGTGACCCCTGCCTTCCCCTGATCTCTCACCACCTTGTGCCAGGGGCTGGGACAAAAGAAGACCCCTCTCCTCAAATCAAGGAGGTACTCCCTGAGCCCTCGGCCCCACTGGGAGAGGGATGCTCCCTGGCTACTGCAGCCATCCCCACACACCCCCACAGAGGGGCCCTCACCTCATCTGCCTGCCCCAGGCATGGCCAGCAGCCCCCAAAGCTGCCTGGGAGGAGGTTGGAGCACCTCGGGACTGTGGCAGCTCGAGTGGTCCTGCAGCAAGTGGAGCATGGGCACAGCCCCAGAGGACTCTCAGTGGGGTGATGGTGGCTGTGCCAGGGGTCCCTGGTGGGGGGGAGACCCTGGGGTCCCCCCTCCCACAAGCCTGGGGCAGCTGCCAGATGCTTTCACACCTCCTGTGCCAGACTCCAGCGCTCACCACGGGGCGTTCCCGCAGGCACAGGTGTCCCCAGCTGCCAGCACCGTCCCCTGGGAGGGGGTCACAGCCCCACCCCACGCAGAGGGGCGGGGGTCTGCAGGGCCAGGACAGTGAAGTTCGGGGTAAGTGCTTTGCAGCCCATCCAAAGTGGCCACAGGTGGGACCATCGTGTTCTGATGCCTGCTGCTGTTGAAGCACGCAGGTTTTCTTTCACTGACTGCACCAAAGATACAAAAAATAATTTAAAAAATTTAATGAAAAGCATTTGTTTGCAGGTGATAATAAAGCACCACTTTAAAACACAGCAGAAAGCCCAAACTTCTTGCTTTGATATAAGTCAAAACATCACTTTAACTTCTTTCCACTTTCGTGGCTCGTTACAGAAAAGTGGTGAAATCAGCACATTGAATGCTTTGGTGCCACTGAAATTCCACGGCAAAACGCAGTGGAAGTGGGTCAGCCGGCTCCGTTTCTGCTGCCACTGCAGGCGCTGAGGGTTTCTGCTGGAACCACAGCTCCACGCCGCGTTCAGGCCGCAGGGGAGGACACGTCCCCGCGTCCGTGCCCCCGTGACACACACCCTGTGCCACGTCGCAGGGGTAGGGGGTGAGAAGGAGAAGCGGCACGAGGGCTGGTGCCCAGCAAGGGACTCCGGCCGTCCCGCCCAGCCTGCAGCGCTCACCCCGGCCCCGCACCACTCCTTCCCACCTCACCTCCTTCCCAGCCCTCTCCTCCCCTTTCCCAGGCAGCCCCTTTCTCCTTTCCGATCTCCTCGCAGCGCAGTTGAAAAGCGACCCACTGCGACCGGGGGAAGAAAAGCCCCTCCAGTGAGATCATTGCGAGACCCCCAGACGCCGGGGTCGGGTGTGATATGGACCTCCTCCCTCCTCCTCCTCCTCTCCTCGCCCGGCCCCTCTGAAAGGCTGTTATGTTCTGTAATCGGATTAGGGGAGCCCTGCGCCCTCCCCACGCCCGTTTTCCCATCCCCGCGGGTTGTTTAAGCGAGGCGGCTGCGAGCGCAGGACTCGCCCGTGCAGCGGCCGAGGGAAGCTGGGACGGCGAGAGCCTGAAAGGTTTAGTCAGCGAACAAATTGCCTCTCTGTAGGGGCCGTTTTCTTCCCCAAGTTGAACATAATGATGGCAGTTTGAGGAACAGATGGTGCAGCTAAGCAGATAATCCCGCCGGCCCCGCGAGTTTGGGGAGAGGCAGCGCCGGCTCTGCCCATAGCGCCGGGGGCCCGTCCCGGGACAGGAGGGTCACGGCAGCCTCGGGGTGAGGATGGCACCCCGGAGGGGTTCGGGGAGCTTGGGCACCTTCACACCTCTGCTGCTTTCGGGGGATGGTTGGAGCGCCGGCCGCCTCTCGTGCCTCAGTTTCCCCGGCCCCGTGGGAGGTCTCAAGGCGGGGCTCACCCTCAGATCGCAGCCTGTAATGTGAGACAGCCCAGCTTTCTCTGCACCGAAGCAAAGGACAGCTGAGAAAAGATCATCGTATTCTTATTTTGCTATTTTGCCTCTCTCCGAAAACATTCGGGATTTGGAAAGGACAGAAGGAATTCCACCAGTTCGCAGGGCTGGGTGTGTGGTGTGCCCGCGTCAGGCTCAGGGGTGCCAGGACCTGTCCGCTAAACGAGTCTTTAAAATACACCAGCAGGAAAAGCCCAAAACCCCACAGACACGATGCAGGCAGGGCAGGGAACTCACACATCCGCCCGTGCCACTCTGGCACCAGGGAACCTTCCCCACACCACGGGGCTCTCACAGCCTTCAGGACACGCTCCAGGCACGCTGCACCGCATGCCTGCGTCCAGGGGGTTCATTTAGTCCGTGTTTCCCCACCTCCAGCCCTGTCCCCTGGGAGCCCCGGCTCTGACAGCTCCCCTGCCCTCTCCGCGGCAGCCCAGCTGCCAAGAGACCTGCCTAATTCACCTCTTGCTAATGCAGGAGCTCGATCAGCTGCTCGGAGGGTGTTTTACAAGTCAAAGTAATAACAACATCCCCCTGTTACAGCTGGGGAAACTAAGGCACACAAAGAGGTGCCCGGGAGTCCATTGGAATTAGAAGGAGGACAAAGCCTGGGCTCCCCGAGCTCCCGGCGTACATGTCCTTACACATCCGCAGCCCCCACTGCCTCCCCACCCCCGGAGCAGCTGATGCCGTGTGCTGTTTGATAGAAAGCCAGCTAATCATCTTTCCCACCTTCGTCAGAGTGTGAATCGTTATCCCAGCGACACCTGTAAAGCTCCTTGTCAGACGAGGCTGGTGCACACGCCTAATAATGGGCACCAGATGGGAGAGGGAAGGCTCGGGAGAGGAGCAGGGGCCCGACTATCCCTGCACCGAACAAAGAGCAGTGCCCGAGGGCTTCCCAGTGCAGCCCAGTATCACCCAGTATCTGAGAGACCAGCAGCAAGGGGAGAGGCCGGCTGGTGGAGGAAGAGCCACTGCTCGTGGTACTAAACAGGTCAGTGACTCTCCAAGCGGCTCCCGCCCTTTGGAAAAGGAGCTGCCAAAGGCTGGAGCATGCAGGTCAAAGGTAGGAGAGCCATTGGGTTCTGCTCCCCACAGCGTGCCCAAAGCCTGGGACCAGGCACCCCAAATCCACCCCAAATCCACGTCCCCCCATGCCTTGGTGCCTCTGCTCCCCTCCAGCCTGGCAGCAACACCGTGGGTGCAGACAAAGCCTCCCAGGACCCACAGTTTAGATGGTGACAGGGAGGACACGGCGTAAATTAGAGATGGGTCCCTGCACTGGGACTGATCCAGAGCCCCCCAGACTCCCTCCCTGACCCCAAACACTGGGGGCAGAGCTCTGCCCCTTCTACCAAGCCACCCCCCAATGAAAGCCGCCCCTGCCCCCAGCCCACTGCAATTACAGAGCCATGTTTTGAGGCCCCCATTCATGGCCAGCAGCATAATGAGCCTCTGGGCACCATCAGCGGGGCCAGAGCAATTAAAATTGCTGGCGTGGCGGCTGCGTGGGTGGCTCTGGCGTGGGCAGCTGCCAGTGCCTGTTTTGGGGCGAGCGGGCACCGCCAGGCCGGGCAGAGCCTCAGAGAGCTGCATCTCCCCGGGGCGAACAATCGACTCGTTCTTCGCCGGGTTCAAAGAATGATAAAGTAAAATAAAGAGGGAAGAAAGGCCCCAGTTAAAAACTGGGAGTCAAGTTTATTTACAAACTGAATATGAAGTGAAGGGCCCGGAACAAAGGTGTTATGTAAGGGACAGTCACTAAGGGGCTCTTTACCCACGCTAATTGCCACTTGCTCCGTGATATCCATTTATCTCGCAGCCGAAACGCCCTCCTTAGGCTCGTGGGTTCAAGCGCTGCTTGTTTGCAATGCTGCCCGGTGCAATTAGTGCACCAGAGCAGGGGTTGATGCAGTCCCACCACCCAAGCCCACCGGGAAACCTCACACCTCCCTGGAAAGTGGGATCATGCCCACAGTGGATGGATGTGCTGGTGGGCACATGGCTGGGTAGGGAGAGGTGCTGCCCTGAGTGGGTGCTGGTTGTGTAACAGGGAGGGAGAACGGCGCTCAGTTCTTCAGGAGGAGACCTCCAGGTCCCTGCATCAACCCAGCCTGGATGGCGAGGAGCAGAAAACCACCCTGGGATGCTCGTGGAGGCGGCTGTGAGAGTGACAGCCCTGGAAGGAGAACGAGGTCTGGAGAGGATGAACAGAACCCTGTGTTTGCCTTGGGGTTTCCAAAGAGGTCCAGCTGGAAACTGCCCTCAGGTGCAAAACCCCAAAGGGCAGAGACCAGTAATAAAAAGCCCCATGGGCAGTAGAAGCTGCTGTGATTGCTGCTGGGTCTGCAACTTGTGGCCTTCCTGCTCCCATCCCTGCCCTCACCCTTGCCATGTCCAGGGGCACGAAGACCACAGATGGACCATTAGCTCTACTCCAGCCAAACCCTTGGGAAGGGGAGGTGGTAGCAGCACCCCCGGGGAGCCAAGAGGTCAATTTTATTGACAAACTGCCTCTTGAATGGAGCAGAGGGAACAAAGCCGGGCTCAGCCCGGGTCAGTCGGGACTGTGTAAAGCGAGGGGCCGGCACCAGCGGCCCTGGGAGAGCCCTCCAGGCGAGCGGCCTTTACCGACGTGTTTGCGTAACCCCTGACCCCTTCTTTTGGGGTTTAATTGAAATCCCAGCTTGGTGACAAATTGGCATGACCAGCAGGCCAGAGGGTGGGAGGGTGAGCGTGGAAGTGATGCCGGGAAGTCCTTTCCCTGCTCTGGCAGTGACCGACCCGCTGCCCCTTCCCGTCCTGGCATGGGCCACCTCCACAGCACTTCCCACCCGAGCCACGACTTAATCACACCCTGCTCCTTCCCCTGCTCCTCTGTCACTGCCCAAAGGCCACCGTGGATGGATTTTGGACTGGCAACTGCCTGAGTCCACAGGCAGCTCTGTCCCAACACGGGCAGGGGAAGAGATGTGTGAGGCTCCTTCAGAAACTCTGCCTGGGCTGAAGTCCCCTCGGACTGGAACGTTCTGATGCCTCATTAACCACAGAGCTCGTTAGGCTGAGGCATTTGCAGTTCGCACCCTGGCAAGCCCATACCCCACAGACCCCTCTCCCTCCCTGTCCAAAGGGAAGGGTCACTGCCCTTCTCCAGTCTTGTCTGGAAGTAAAAACTGCTTTTTGGAGCCAATAGGAGAAATAAGCTTCTGGAAAATGCCTATAACTAAAGACCCAAAGCAGTTCCCACCAACTGGGGACCCAAAACTGACACTGAGCCAAATGGAGGTGAAGTTGTCCTATTTCAGCAGTTCCTAGGAGAGAGATGAGAAGTGACAGACACACCCTGTGATGGCAGAAATCTCATTTTCGGCAGAAACCAGACTAAAATCAATGAGAAAAAGCACCAAACCAGCTACCTCAAAATCCCCATCCCTTTCCAGAGCATTAGCAGCATCCCAGCTGCTCCACGTGGCACATCAGCAATGCAGAGCTGTGCCGTGCACAGGTACCAGTGCACCTGAGAGGGATGTCCAGGTGGGCATTCCTGCTGGCTGAAGGGGCTCTGTAGAGCTACTGCAGGATCCTCCAAAGCACAACTATTCTCCCTCTGCTTTCCCTGCTGTCCCAGAGTACCAGATGCTGGGATTAGACTGCGGAGTTTTCCTGCTCAGTGGTAGAGATTTAATATTTCACATTCTACACATCACCCAAGATGAATCCCAGCTGCTCTTTAACAGGGATGTGGTAATGTC